CACTACACTTGGCTTCAGTAATCAGCTCCTACTCCAATAGTGACCTTGGCCAACCAACCCAAGAAATTGATTAACTCCCGACCCTACTGACAACATCCTTACACCTAATTGCCTTCCTTACCAATGGCAACTAAAGAACCACATATAAACAATTTTTGCCACCTTTTGCACAACTATGTATATATCCTGCATGTTGTTGAAATCTTAATCTTTGTTCCTTTACTTCACAACCATACATTTGTTATAACAAAAATAATTTCATCACCCACAAGTCCAGGTAGTCACTTTTAAATTGTTCATAAGTTAATCTGATTGACCATTACTACTGAATAGTGAGTCTTGAGCCAAAATTAAGCTAGACTTAATGTGTAGAAACAAAAATCTTCATTATTTGATGGCATTTGGATCAGGCATGGTTTTCAGCTTGAAATGTCATTACCACTAACCAAGGCTGGTTTTCTATCACAGTTTAGGAATACTAGCTGAAAATGTAACCTTTGTGTATTTTCTTTCCTATTCACAGCTTCCCAGTCAGCATTTTTGATATCTGGAACCACAAATGCCGACATCTGGCAGCAAGATCTCTGATCAAGTGATTGGAGGTTTTGAGAAGCATGGAACCATTGCTTTTAGTTGTTCCCAGGTCCAACCCAACCCAGCGTGGTAGCATCTGTTAAGGTCCCAACTATAGGCAAATAGTGAACACTCAAACAAAAACAAAACACTATGAAAGTATAAAAATACATTTTTATAATAAAATACCAGCAATCCATTTTTATATAATAAAATTTACCAACAATACATATCTATAGTAAAATTACCAATCCTACCTATCTATAATAAAATTAAAAATACATTTTTAAAGCAAAAAGACCAAAAACACATTTTAGTTATAGTTAAAGGCATACAATTGCATTTAAAATATATTTAGTTGAAACCATAAAATTGTATTCAAAATACTTAGATTTTGCCATTAAATGACCCATAGAGATGTTGATATGCTGTTAAACAAAATCAACCAACCAATCAGATATGTTTCCCAAAAATGAAATGTTAATTCAGTGATGTGTGATTTTGAATCAACTGATGACAATATTAAAAGTCACTATGCAGCTAAGAAATTAACCGATGCTGACAAAACATTACGGTTCTGTAGCATGACTACAAGCGAAAGAAATTCTTGCCATGATTGAGGAGTTAACATAATTTTCAATCTGATATCACTGGCATTTTTTTCTTAATCATATAGCTTATCTCAGAAAAAGAATCTTCTCAGCTCTGGTATTTGTCCCAACACTAACAGAATAATACAACTTTATGTAATTCAGGTTTTTTATTTCTTTTTTTAAATAAGAAAAAAAAGACAAAAAGAACATTACAAATATACTTTAGAAAATATCTATTCTTCTCGTTGTACGTGTCGTATCAAGTATCTCTGTGATTTTCAAATACGGCATTGTTTATACAAGTAGAAACTTATCCCCTGTTAATACCACAAGATAAATGTGAGTAGAACTTTATCCACTGCTAATGCCACAGAATAAAATGTTTTACTGGATAATTTTCTTCTTCTTCATGTGCCGTGTCCCCTCAGGACATAGACGATCATGGCTCTCCACAATTTCCTGTCCTTTGTAGCTTTTAATAAATTTTGTCTTGTTATTTTTCTTAAACTCAGTTCTGCCATCCATTTACTCAAGCCCATTAAGTATGTCATGTATTGTTTCCCTCTTGCCCTCTTGCCCTTTATCTGTCCTGTGAATATCAGATTTTTCAAGCTCTCTTTTTGATCATTATGTGCCCTAGAAATTTCAATGGTCTCCTCCTGATGTTACGTATAAGTTTCCTTTTTGTTTCGATTTTCTCTAAAATCTAGTTGTTGCTCACATGTTTGGTGCATGAGATCCTCAGCATTCTTCTGTAGAACCACATTTCTTTTGCTTCAAGTCTCTTCTTCATTTTCAAGTAGACTGTCCAGGATTCACCGTCAACTAGAAGGACAGACATCACACAAGAGTTCAGTACTCTTTTCTTTGTTTCTAACAAAGTTTTTCTGTCTCTTATTACTCTACCTAGTTTTTGAAATACATCTTTGGCTATTCCAATATGTCTTTGGATTTCAATGTCGCACTTTTCCTTCCCCTGTTAAAAAAACTTCCTAGATATTTAAATTGTTGTACTTGTTTGATTTTGGTATCTTAGATTTGTAATTTTTATTTTGGGCTGTTCTTTTTGCCGACAACCATTCATTGTTTTCTTTCAAATGATGTTTAGTCTTTTCTTCTTGTTTTTTTTTTCAATACCTTCTGTAGGAGATTTTGTAGTTTGTTTTTTTTTTTGGGTGGGGGGGTCCATGTCTGCTATCAACATTGTGTCATCTGCATATCTTGAGTTGTTAGGATTGTGGTCACCAATTATAAATCCTGGTGGAAGTTCTAATTCTCTCAGAATTGCCTCACTGAATAGGTTAAATAAGTTCAGTGAGAAGACAAATCCTTGTCTTACACCCCTTTCTATTTTTGTATATCTGCTGAACTTAAGCTTCTTTAAAAAAAAAAAAAATTAATTAATTTCATAAACTTGTTAATGTGAAAGATGACAGAATTTGTAATTTCTGTTATATTTTGAGTTAAACAAAAAAATTTATAAAATCTATTAGGGTAACACTATTCTGTTAAAGAGAAGGAACAATTTCTAATTGTTACTCTTTAATGAACTGATCCCTCACTTTAGGTTCACATACTATTCACTCACCCAACTTCAGGTATCTTTTGTCACCTGTCAGTCCAGAAGCACCTCCATATATCAAGGTCTTCCATTAGTATAAGTAGTGGGGTTGTATCCATTGCCAACTTGCTAGGCCTGTTGTGAAGTTTAGATATTCCCCAGTGAGGTCACCCATCTGAGTTCTAACCAGGCTCAATGCTTCTTAACTTTGCTGATCAAACAAGAACCAGTAATATGGCTGTAAGCATTTGAGGTTCAAATATTTAAAATTGACATTGAATCAATGAAGTGATAAATCTATGAACACGTCTCTGCCAGGAGCCACAGGTGAGAATGCAAACATCATCAAACCAATAGATTTTAATTAATTTGCCTTGATTTTTTTAATTTTCTTTTTTCATCTATTTAATGTTTAGAATTTTTGAAAAATAAATAAAATAACCTGTTTTGTAAACCTGATAATATGTCTGGAGAGTTGAGGCTTGGAAGCCGAATTTATAATTCATCATATAAGTCTGCTTGTTCTTCTATTAGCATGTTTCTTATACATTGCCACTACCCCAGATAAATAATAAGCCATTCCATAGTTGTAACAAATTTTATTTTTTCAATTGTAGTTGTAATAGTTGGTAGGTAGAATAATATATTTTAATTTGTTGGATTTATCTGGATATTTTGAAATATTTTACCAACTTTGTCAAAAATCCAGAAAAAAAAATGTAATGCGTATGAATGTAAGTGTTTGTGTGTGTTTATTCTAAAATACAGACAGACAGACACACACATATATATTTTTTATTATAAAACATATTTCAATAGATACATGTTTTTGAGTTGACACCCTTGTTTTCCTAATTATAGAAAATATTTTTAAAAAATATATGCTTGGGTGGACACACTTTCTTTTTAAAGATTCTCAAATGTACAAGCTGGTGGGTATATATATGTGTGTGTTGCACACCACATCAGACAATGGCTTCTACAAAGGGGGGTACAAGTTCATACCCTGGCAGAGAGCACATTTTCTTTATTAATTTTGTCAAAAAGCCAAGCCAATAGACATAATTCTCTCTGTTTTTTTAAAAAAAAAAAGAATCATCTACTCAAACAGGTGTATCCACAAAATAATGTTTGGAGTAGAATATATATAAGAATAGTAATTGTTAGTTATTGGAATTTATTTCGTATACACCAATCATATACTTGAGATATATATATATATATATATATATATATATATATATATATATATTCTGTATTAGGGCAGCAATCCCTCATTTATACAAGTTTCATTAAAGACAAGTGACAAGGTACTGTAATTAAGCTTTTTATTTAATTTTTCTTCTGTTCATGTAATTGTTTTCATTTCTGGACATAAAGTGTGTAAAGATTTTCTGTATATCCAAGCACTTTTGGCTATTTTTTTTAGCCATTATCAAGGATGTTTTTATAGTTTTTAACTGAACTTAACTCCTTTAAACAGACACTGAAACATACCAAATTCCATCAGCAACATACTTGTAGAAAATACAACTATGAAAGCCTCATTCACATGTGTTTTTTTTTTTTTTTTAAAAAAAAAAAAAAAAAAAAGCACTAATTTTCATTCCTGTAGTTTACTGCTAATAACAAGATTTTTTTTTCTCCTGATGATGGCCATGCTGGCCAAAACTAGTTCAGGAATCTAATTGAAATAATAAAACAAAAAAATATTAATATACAAATCAGTGTGTCTGAAAATTTTAATTTTTTAATACTTTTTATTGTTCACACACACACACACACACACACACATTATTTATTCAAAAATTATAACATAAACATGATTCAACACCATCACTTGATAAGACACCAAAAGTGTTGAAGCAAAATGGCTATTTTGTAGTGATTTTATAACATATTTATGTTATAATTTTTTAATAAATAATATTTGCTCTACTCTGCATTGAGCACTCTTAAGAATAATATTTTTGGTTATTGGAATTTATTTTGTCTATACCAATCCTATACCTGGTGATTATATATATATATATATATATATATATATATATATATATATATATACACACACACACACATTTGTATGTAACTCTTCTAATAGTGCATAGATACTACACTGATCCAAAGATCATTCCATCAGTTTTGATACATACTATACTACTTTATAAGTAGTATTTTTTGTTGTGGTGGGGAGGGATACTATCAGTTAATGTATATTAAATTCTTGAGGCTATCCTTATTTTTGATGTGATCTTCTCTCATCTATGTTCCAGGTTCAGATGAAAGGAATGTAGCCAGCCAACCCACCAGTGATACATATTCCAAAAACAGAAATGACTCAAACCGGAGCAATTCCCAAAAGCCAGTGAGTATGCCAAGAATCAATTATAAATAGATGGACACAAAAACACACACATGTCTACAAATGATTTCTAATCAGTTTCTATTTTCTTTCATTTCAAACCATTACCAATGATTTTCTAGTGATCAAATTTGGCCAATTTTTTTTTTCCAATTTGATTTTTCTCTGCTGGAAAATTAGCTGACAAACATTTTCTTTCTTTTCTGTTCATTGTGATGTTTTTTTCTTCATTCACTCAGTACACTGAATAAATTTTAAAAAATCAAAAAAAACAAAACAAAATTGAGTTATAAATAATTTCCATATTTGTTCTCCAACTTTATTCTTCAAAAAATAAATTGCAATCACATTTTTTCAATTATAAATTGCAATGACTTGTTGCCACTTATCAAGCAGGTTTTATGCCTTTTGAATAAAATTCCACAAGTTTTGATGTGAAAAAATAGTCTACATCTGGTTTTCCTTATTGAAGCATTTTAGAGCAATCATAAATGGTAATAATCTGTGGGTGAATATGGCGGGTGGCATAGAAAAGACGAACTGAGTTCTAAAATTCTTTGCTGTATTTCCTTGAATTGTAGAGGAGAACAACATTTTTACTTTAACCTGCTGCTACTGGCAATCAAAAATTAAAGTATGTTAGTGTACTCTAAATTTATTCTTAACTGTCATGTATCGTTAGTAGTTAGGGTAATACACTTGTTACTACAATTAGTTCCCAAAAATGGTAATTACTTATGACTCAACCTAATATTTAATATATTAAAGTATGTATAGTCATATGCGGCTTCTTCAACATCTCCAAAAGTTCCCTTTAAGATCCAGTTAAGTTTTTGTAGAGTGATGTTCACTTGATCTGGGTAGAGAGTTACTGTAACACCCCTTGCCAACAGGGTCACATCTTTGGTCATGGTCACCAATTAATGTAACACCTTTGGTCTCTGCTTACACCCAGTGGTGTACCCACATTTAGTGGTCCAGTCCTCAGGGTCTTAGGATGTCATTTTAACCACAGGGCTAACTCTGTGCTGGTCCAAGCTGGTTGTTTGTCACTTCGATCCACACTATGCCCACTTTATGTTCTCAAAGCAGTGGAAGAATGAATGTCGTAATGGCAGTGCTGATTCAAAATGTGGTGGGTGCTATATTCATGAAAAAAATATCTTCATGATGAAAAATAAAACGAGAGATTCATGAGTTTAATCTCCAATTGGTTTATGTAGCTCTTGGTACAATAAATATTAACCCTTCCTGCACGAATCTCTGTAATGACAATAGGCCTTGTCTAATCTTTTGGGTTCAAAGTCTTAGAATCAGGAATCTGGTAGCAGATGACATGGACTTCAGAGCCTCTTGATGTGGGTACTTGGTTCAAGTCTCTGAGCTCTCCAAAGTCATCTGCTTATATACACTTCAGCCAAACTATAACACAACACCCTTGGTCGATTCTGGGTCAGATGATATAACCCTTGCCACATGCTGCCTATACCAGAATGATGTCTTGGTCCTTGTACATGCACAATTGTTACAACACAAATGTCAACACATGTCATTAATCCATGTATTGACTCATAACTGTATATAAATTGTTGTTTATATGTTTGTTTTATGTGTGTGTGTGTGTATATATATATATATATATATATATATATACACATATCTTCCGATCTAACACTAACTTCCCAGTGACGAAAAAACTGGTTGGTTATATTCAATGCCTCTAAAACCAAACTGGTTACATTCCATCACCAACAATCAGACTCTGAACTACCGCCAGTCATGATAAACGGATGTTCTCTTGAGGAGGCCCCATGCCTCAAGAGGATATTGGGCTTCAAACTCACATCTGACCTCAAGTGGAATTCTTATATATGATCCATCGCTAAAGATGCAGCTAAAATGATTGGCTCCCTGTACTGCTCCAGTAAATACCTGACTCCTCGTGCTATACTCTACCTTTATAAGAGCCAGATTAGATTCTAAAAACGGAGCCATGTTGTCACATTTGGGCAGGAGCTGCCCAGTCCTCACTTTCCAATCTTGATAAAGTTCAAATGCATCTCCAAGTCCTTGTAGGAAGAATAATTATTTTCCACTTTCAACATCTCTCACAGGTTAGATGTGATGAGCCTCTCACTGCTCTATCACTACTACTATAGAAAGTACTCGGTTGAACTGCATCTGTTGGTTTCACCTGGCCTGACCTTCACAGCTAGGACCTGCCATTTGACTTACATAATAGCACATCACCCACGTTCTCTTCATATTCCATTGGCGAGAAGTAAGTTCCACTCGGACAGCTTCTTCCTGCAAACTACTGTCATAAGGAACAGATTGTAGTGATCGGGGAAACATCCTTTTGGATGTTTCCCCGATCACTACAATCTTAACCTGTTCAAGTCTAGAGTCAACCGTTATCATCCCCTCCTATCCATATAAACTATCCCTTATCGTAATCCTCTACCTCAAGTGGCCCCCCAACCTTGTACCGAGTGAACCTTACTGCAAAAAAAAAAAAAAAATTAATATTTGTATATATATATATATATATATATATATATATATATATATATATATTATAAATTGATTTAAAATATGTTTTTTTTTTAACACAGTTCAACCATGTTTCAAAAATAGAAGCTAAAAATCCCGAATTTAATTTTGCAATTAAATTAAAAGCATTGAAGATTTCATCTTCAAGCGAATTGGCTTGAGATGAAATGGAATCAATGCTTTTAATTAATTTTAAAAATTAAATTGGGATTTTTAGCTTCTATTTTTGAAACATGGTTGAACTGTGTAGCGAAAAAAACATATTTTAAATCAATTAATTTATAATATTAATGCTCTGTAAATTTACATTGAGCACTATTTTGTAAAAATAAAAATATCTATAAGAACACCGGATTTTATATCTTACTGTTCTTTCTTTTTATTTATATATATATATATATATATATATAAATAGTGTGGTCTGCTAGTAAGACAAGATAGAGAATAGCACATTATGAAAGGAGATATCTTTTCCTACTGCATTTGGTATTCGCTGGGCACCAGTCAAACGACCTTTTACTCACTCTGTGGAGGTAGGAAATCTTTTTCAAAATTTAATAAGCATTGTGATGAAAAAATCTGAGTAGGGCTAGGATTTGTCTAGAATTTAGCTGTAAACATAGAGCAAATTATTTAATGTGAGTTAAATCTTTTTTCTTCTATATCAAGGTTTTTACCAAAAATAAATATAAACTTTACAAAGCCTGTTTCTAATGTCCTTCATTTGTTAATCTATTTTTATTTTTTGCCATTTGTTGTTAGACATAGCCAGGATGGGATTGCAAAAAGGCATGAATAATATAAAAATTTTGCTCTGTGGAACAAACTCCCAAGAGGATGTTTCTCCTAGTCATTACAATCTTAACCTGTTCAAGTCTAGAGTTAACCATTATCTTCCCCTCCTATTAGTATAAACTACCCCTTTTCATAACACTTTACCTTGAGTGGCTCCCTGGGTTTTGTACAGGGAAAACCTTATTGTAAAAGAAAAAAAAAATCACTTTGGTCAGCATCTCCCTCCATTTCTTTTCTGTCCCAAAAACTCTAATTCTTCAACATTGTTTGCTCTATTCAATGGAATCAAAGCTCTAATGACTTCTTTGATAGAAGACATTATTTCCTTGAAAACAATAACCTCTTTGATTGATAATTTGAACAATTCTATTTGCTATCATGTAATTTTCTGAAGCAACCAACATATTCGTTAGTGTTATGGTCCGGTTCCTTGTACCACGGTGATAGTCCAAGGTAGAACCAATAAAGAAGAACTCGAACACAGGTATTGAATAACACAGATATATTACAAACAGGAGTATATACAGAGAAGTAGAAAGTGTTAGTACAAACAATCAGGTTTAGTAGTAATTGTCTGAACGCAACCATTTCGGACTGCCTCTGACTTGACTGACTGACTCCTGACAGACATCACTCCCTGCTTCCTCTTGAGGCGCAGTATTTATTACGTATGGAATAGTCCATTATGTTATGATGGGTAAGGTCCCATAACAGTTAGCCACACTGACATTTACATGGGCTTCTTTTTGCTTCTTCATCTCGATTCAATTAGGTGATGGTATCGTGTTGGGATTTTCAACAAGTTTTTCTAACATCTTAGCATTCTCAAAGTTTTTATATTCCTTTTTCATCTTTTTGTCCAAGTGGGTGTCATTAACTTCTACTACAAAGCCAATATCATCACTGATGATTGCAAGAATATAACTTGTTCTTCAAAGAGGAATCCTTACTTCCGACATTAAATGTACTACAAATCCTGCATGGCTGAACATTTATTTATTTCAGAGATTCTGAATAGTATCGAATAGTTGCTCCAACTTGGATAAACTTTTTGTATCCCATTGCTATTTCATTCCAGCAGACACATTGATTTGAGATGGCCTTCTGAGTGAATAAACCCTGTAGACCTAGGAAAGGCCTATTCTTCTTTGAAATCGTGTGGACTGGCACTAGTGTGTCTTGGACACGATAGCCTGATAGAGCCCAACCCTCTCCAGGCTGATTTGAATTCAGAGTTTTTCCTTCTAGACCGGTTGCCGCCAAAGGCACTGTCCTGCTATTTGCCCATAGCTAAGAGAAGAGATGGATTCATACCTTTTCCAAGAGTATTAGCACGTAAGTCAATATAATGAACTCAACCTGAATTTGAACTTGGCTTTCCAATTTCTCAATCCAAGCCACAATCCATTACTCCACTATGCCTCCTCTCTAGTAGTAGTATTCTAATTTAAATTTGCTAAGAGTGGAGACTATAAATTGTCTCAAATAGAAAGAACAGTGAATTGTCTATATTCAGTTTGTGACTACATACTTGAGTATCGACCACTATGATGTCTACACCAGCTGTTCCGTATTCAAGTTTGATCACCTCAGCTGATTGTAGAGTTGATCACTTCGGACTGAGTCTTGTCTCGCCGCACATTGTGTCAATTGATTACAAGACTGGCTTGGTCCAAATGGTCGACTGGAATCAATGACTTGGTTTGGTCCAGTTAGAGTCACATGAAAGAAGAAAAAATAAATTGGATAAAAGAAAAAATAATTTACATACAATTCATTGATAGTACAGTTATTGATGGCTTAAGCAGGCCTATATTCTCCATGCAATAACTATCAACCCTTCCTGATTATCGTGACACGCTGTTGTTATGGTTTTGAACGAGACTTCTGGAACAAAGGCTTTAAGTCAGAGGTTTTTCTTCAAAGTGGCAAATCACGTGAGCTCAGGTGAAGCGGTGGTTCTCGTCTCTCTCCTCATATACTCGGCATTCTTTTTTTATGGACCCCTGCACAAGGGTTGGTGTGGGGCTTGATGTGCTCTGAGAATGCCAGCATCCCCCAAACAACCAATCAAGGCTCTCCCTGTAAATGTCCAAATATGGAGGAGCCTCTCCTCCCTCATTGGAATTCTACCTGGGCCTTCTCCTCCTTTTGGTCACCTGATCAAGTCCATCTCCTTCTTGCTTTATGTGAGTGCCTCCATCACTGCCTGAAGGGTGTGGAAAGTCCTCTGCCTTCCTTGAAATTCCACCTGGGCCTTTTCCTCTTTGGCACCTGATCAATCCCGTCTCCCAAGAGCTAGACATGGCCCAAATGGCCAAATTTTAATTATTGTTCAAAATTCTTTCTTATTGTGCTTTTGTGTGCATGTGTCATTTTTGCATCTGGGATTTATCATTTTTTTATCCCCTTTATCAACCCTTTAGCCAACAAGTGACAAAAAGGGAACAATCCCTCGATTTGGGAAGTTTTATTGCACTTCGGCAGATGAAGAATTTAATTACCATTCCTTTTACCTATTTTCTTCTGGAAACCTGTTGCTTTTAAAAGTTAATCCTTATCAATTGACCGAATTCATGGCCAATAGACATAAAAATATTATCTTATTTCTTTTCGGGAGGTCCTTGGACCTCCAAGAATATGCCATCACTTAATCCCAGTCCTAACCAAAACCAGATGGTCTCTTTCTTTTACATCTCTTGCAGATGAGAAATTTAATTACCTTCTTTTATTTCCTTTCATCTTGTCATTAGTATATCTTCAGGAAATTAGTGTTTTTCTGCCTTCTTGTTTTTTTCAATTTACTAGTGCCTTTCCAATGGTGTTACACCACTACAACATGAAGACTTTACAATTGTTACAATCATAATAATTGAATTAAATTTTAGAATTTGTATGAAATCAGTTTCTCAATTCTAAATTATCATTTTTCTCATAACTGAAATTTTTTCTAGGAAGTTTCCAAAAAAATAAATAAAGGGGAAATGTTTTTCAATTTTTAAATTGAAAAAAAAAAAAAGCAATGGGCTACAGTTATTAGACTCAAGAGTATATGTCACACCCTCTTCCATTTTTATCTTTTATATGCCATGTCCTTCCTGGAGGTGATCAGTCATAGATCTCCACAACTTTCTGTATAAATTTTGACTTTACTATTCCTCTTTCCCCTGTTTTTGTCATCCACTTCCTCAACCTCATTAAATAGGTTACTCAGTTTCCCCCTACTTCTGTTACTTTCAGTTATGTGCTTTGAGTGCTAAATTTTCTAAGCCCTCTGTCCTCATTATGTTTCATTGTGGTTGTATCAATCTTACAAGTTTTGTATGAAAGTGGTACTAAAATAAGTTTTTATTAGTATCATAGGCAGAATATAGATTCTTGTTTTTTTGTTTTTTTTTGATACAATGAAAGAGTTCTTTATTGATAATTTGTCACCCTTTTTTTTCTTTTTTTTTTTTGTAGCAGAGAATTAAAATTTTTTTCTTTTGATTGGGATCTTCTTTTATTCACTGTTTACAATGAATGAAGTAAACCCTTATGGTGGTTCCATTTATCAATAGAGGTCAGTACATCTACATTGAGCATAGCTGTAGCATAATATCAGTATTCCTATATTATATATATTCTATATGTGACATATAAAATTACCCCCATTTTTAATAGTTATTCAAAGGTTAAACTGTATCAAAATTTCAGGTTACTGAGAACAGCCCCAAATTTTGATCATAATGTGCACATTAACCTAAACATTATGCCAGGAGTGGCCAAACTGCAGCTCGTGAGCCATATGTGGCTCATGGAAATGTTTTAATATAAAAAGGCAAATAAGAAAAATTTCAAGCTTTATATTTACTGGGTATGAACAGAGATCCCATTGGATTAAACATAAGTTTAATGTTAATGTGTATGCAACAAAAACGTGTGTGTGTGTGTAAATGGTGTTCATGTCTTGCAGCTCTTACATTAAGTTTGGCCACCCCCTGCTTTATACACTATATATTCTTTTGTTTCCACTACACTATGCCCTTTTTTTTACATAGTGCAGTTTTGTTGATTGGTTTGTTTTCTACAGCTTATCAACCCCCTTGAAGGTTATTTAAAGCCAGAAAATATTTTTTTTAAATTCTTTTTTGAGATAATAATGGTTTAGTGAGACAAGTATTACTAATTAACCCATAACTGGAGGGAAGATGACGTGAATTCATACCTTTCCCCAGGGGCATTATAGCATGTAAATAAATATATAGCAAACCCAACTGGAATTGAAACTTGTCTTTCCAATTAACAATTTCAAGCCATTATCCATTACACCGCCTGCACATCCAAGCTTACAGCACCTGGTATTCCCAAGTGGTCATCCATTTAGGTATTAACCAGTCTCAATGTTGCTTTAGTTCAGTGATCATATGGAAATTGGTTTTCAACATGTTTGTAGTGTAGAGAAAGCAATGATTAGATAAGCTCAGCCTTTAATAAGAGCCTACATTTGTGGCCTTGTACCAAACTTTGAATTCTTTCTTGTAATGAAAACATTTTTTTTTTCTTTTCATCTTACCTTTTGCAGGAATTCAATCTTTTGTCCTGTGCTTCTTTCATGAAACCCTCCACCAGATTGCAATATGGTCTGGAATTGATTCGAGCCCAATACAACATGGACTACAACCCACCCATGCCTCGACTCTCACGGTCTGCTTGGTGACTTACAGAAATTCAGTCAGTAAGGGTGGTCAACATCTCAAGTAGTGTCTTTTTTTTTTTTTGTTGTTTTTTTAAATATTTAAATTAAGTGATTCTCAAATCTTAATTTCACTCTGTTCAATTAACTACCAACACTGCACTATCACTGGTGGGGTGGGGGAATGGAACATTGTCTGGTCAGTCTTTATTTTGCTGAATTTGATTAAATTTATTCAGCATCAGGGTACCACCTCAATCTTGAAAAATATGGGTAGGAAGTCCAATTTTCAAGACCGAGCTTTACAGTTACTTATAGTATGATAGAAAATGACAAGTGTATTTTAACAGACATTTATAACATGTCAGGTGTTCAGGGAAAACTTGAACAAATCATGCCACTATTTTCATTGGTACAACATATTCAGGAGTAAACTTACATACAAAGACAGGCTGAAAAGTTCATAGGCTGACTATGAAGGAGTGAAATCTTGCATGCATTAATTTCAATTCTTTTTATTAATGGCTGTAATGTTTCTTTTCAGGGAAACTGATATCAGACTGTTCAAAGAAGACTTCAATAGTAACTAGTAGCAACTTCTATTGAAAACGAACAAAATTTAGCATCATGATGTTATCAAGTACCTTAAAAAAAAAAAGTTCAGTTCCCAAGGACATTAATGCTGATGTGGTTACTACATTACACTCCAGTTTTATCAACAGTGCAAAAGTAGGCAGTTGAATTAGGTGGGGGAAGAGAGAACCATGATTGAAGATGACCCAAGGTTTGGACATCTAGCAACTACCACAACTGAGAAAAACCTTGATCGGGATTGGCAGACGATTGACACTAAATCAAAGAGCCAATGCTATTAGCATATCCTATGAGAGTTGAGAAGATTCTGCTTGGTGGGGTCCACATCTTTTAACACTTGGCAAAAAGTGCACATAGGAAAATCTAACATTGAGACAGAGCCAGCTGGTTTACTTGAACATTTCTAAATCCAGGATGACTGTTGGATTCAACACTTTGCATGGATTGTCTCTAGCTCAGTCAAAAGATCCCTCTTCCAAAGGTCATGGTTGTTTAATCTGCAGGGCAAGTGATGACCTCAGTTAATAAGCTCATTGCTTTTTGCATCCTAAAGTGCCACACTATATCACTGAGCCAGTTGTAAAAGGTTATCGAGATCAAACCCCCAATAAAACTGTCGAAAGGGGTCCTCCAGCACAGAAGTCCTTTGTTTCAATGGCTGCTGTGCATTAGTCACATCAGGAGAATACAAAGGTGTGATCTGTGATCATTTGTTCCCAACATGAAAAAAAAAAAAAATCACTTGCCTGGGAATCAGTAACAGTGTTGATGTCATATTTACTGTTGATAATTTTTTTTTTTTTTTTACCAACAGGACAAAGTCGTCTTTGAACAGTCAGATGTCAGTTTACCTGGACAGAAACAATGCAGTTATTAATAAGAGTTGAAATGAATGTATACAAGATCATTAGTTATTTCAGTCTCAAGCCAGATGGCAGAAATACTAATCAAAAATGTTGAAGCCATCAAAGGTAGTATGAAAATTTGCATATGCTTGTTAATACTTGCTTCTGCAAATGCCAGAGATTTTTTTCCAGTAATCAGAGTACATGAAACTATTTATATAAAGTCTAAGCAGCCTTCCTTCTCTAAGCAGAGGAGCAAAAAAAAAAAAAAAACTTATCCCCCCAACCCCTTTTACAGTAATTTTTTTTTTCTTCTCTTCCTTCCCCTTTGCTTTACTACTTTTGTGTATATATTTATATACACACTAAAATGTCTGTTTTTAAAAACCTAATAAAATTTTGTACCAACCATTTAAATATTGAATAATATTACAAATAAGTCAGCAATAAATTGATATAGCAAAATTTGAATGTGTAACTGGTTGATGTCACTATTTTCATATACCAAACAACTAGTTTATCATAAATTTCTATAAATTAAAATATTTGAGGAATAAATATATTTTCTTTTATTATTTGGGTCAATGTATAGATTAAGGATTCTTCATTATTTTTAATCTATTGTTACTCCATGACTATTAAATAAGCAATCAGAAGAGCAACCAGATGAAAGAAATTTTGAATAATATTACAACTAATACAATGAGGAATAAATTGCTTTGGCAAGAATTGAACGACCGTGGCTGGTTGGCTTTTATAAGTCATCAGAAAGCATGGATCTTGAGAATATTTTTTATGATGAGGCAGGACCAGGATTAATCTCATACAAAGCAAGGAATTGATTTTACAATCACAAAATAATTTGGAGAAAAATTACTGCTTATGACTCCCCTCCAACTACCTCAAAAGGACTTTGGAAATACTTAAAAGCTGGCAATATTCATGGCCCTTGAAAATCTACCAAAGATCATTTTTCTTTTTGACACACTGGAGAATCTTCCAAAGCACAAAATAAACAAATTGAATAAAGACTTAAAATTTATTTTTATTGGAAAAAAAAAATAAACAACTCATGATCAACTGAAAAAAAAAAAAAAAAAATGGAGGCAAAGCCAGTGCTCATCACAGCAGAGAGTGGATGTATCCACCAGAAGACAAGCATGTATCACTGCCAAGTGCTAGAACAGAAAAGCCCTGCCCTTGGGTGGTCACTGCAAAGAAATAAGCTGTTGTAGGGCGTGGCTATTCCACTGGAAGCTGATGTAGAAGCTGTCATGACTGCAGTGAAACATACAATGATGATGAATGCAAGTTGCGCACCTCCTCCCCACTGGAAACAACATCTTTCACAGGAGAATTACCATCAGCTGTTGTACTGAGCTTGACCTTCTTCTTACCATTCAAGCCAAATATACTTTTCACCTTAAAAGAAAAATATCAATCAAAATTTTTTTTTGACTTTTGAAAATATTGGAAGAAAACAAAAAGAAAAACTGACAGTGTTAAACAATATTTCAACAGAATGTCTGTCATCAAGTTATATTTTTTAAAAAAAATTTTTCAAGTATAAAAATATATAAATATTTATTATAAGTCTTTGTACAAATGTTGCTCGTCTTGTAATGGACACATCAAAATGAATGAAATGCTGCCAGCATGAAGGCATGTAACTGAAATGTGCTTAATATGATGGCAATCTTACTCATTTTGAAGTTTTCCATTAGTTATTAAAAGGAATTAATCTAACAGCTTAGTATTCTTCTGTTCATTACCCCAGGTGGGGGGTACCAATAATATTACATATGCAAATGACTGAGTAACCTAATCTCCAATCATGACAGATAAAATTCTCTCAAGGGAATCTCATGCAAATCATGAAGACTCATCAGTAAACTTTATAAAATGCCCCTGGTACACAAGGACCTCAAGTCCCTCAAAGACATTTTAATTGGCTATTATTTATAGAAAATATGTCATTCTTTTATAGATAAATTTGAAATAAAAACAGTTTCATGGGTTTATTTAAATTTAAAATCTTTCTTCTCAATCTTTCTCCACCCACCTGACTGCTCTAGGCTTTACAGAGATTGGAAAGAAGAAAAAAAAAAATGAATTGACAACCTATTTGACACTGTATCAAGCCACTGTTGTGACAAAAAAATATGATTTTTCTTCCAAGAACTTTGTCTCACTGTTTTTTTTTTGTGAGAGTGTTATGAAGAAAACCTCCAAAATATAAGAATAAACAATGAAGTGGTTTTTTTTCAAACAATGTTTTTGAAAGACCTGTGATAATCTGGAGATACAAAGCCTAATTCAAATCAACTTTATTCCAATTTTAGGATGAGCTAAAAACTAGTTTTGCCTTGTATATTTCAAGGATAAAATTATTTTTAATAGAAATTATGAATTTATTGTCACACATTCACTTAACCATTTGAAACTAGAATATATCATGTCATCTACTCCAACTTTCTTTGACATGTAAAAGTATGGTCAAATGCTTTTAACATCAACAAGACATTGGCTAAAATGAAGAAAACAAAAGACTTACTTGGGATTCCAGTTGTTTTAGGCTGAAGAAAGTAGACTGAGGGTTTTCCAGAAGAATGGTGCCTTTCTTTCCATTGGATGGTTTATTGTCAACTAGTTCCACATTGGCAAAATGGCAAATCGGTGATGTTACTGAGTGCTTGGGGACTGGATTTGAAGATGAGGTGGATTTATTGGGTCCCACGTAAAGTGTCCGGGAATTGAGAAAATCAGTGACATGCTGAGGTTTCAATTCATCAGTCAATGTGGGGTCCAAGAAAACAGAAATATCCCGGCCTCTCAAGCCAAATACACTCTGGATCTGGGAAAAAGAGACAAAGAAGGAACCATTACCAATCTTCTGTATTGACTTTATATAGAAACCACAAGCATAAAAAAAATTGCTTTTCTCTCCATTAATTATTATGACTTTTGTTACTAGTTTTCACTAAGAGCCTGATAAATGCAACTGCATAAAAACCACAGTAGCAAATGGAGGTAGAGAAAAAAACAACAACAACAAACAGGTAATAGTGAGTTAATATTTTGGAAAGGCAAAGAGTAACCAATTTTGATAGGTTCAAAAGACATTTCTTTCTTGAACCTGAGTCACTTCTGGAAACTGCATTCTAAAACCTATTGATGAAGAATTGAGAAAAAATAGGAGTAATCACCAATAAAGCAGAGCTCGTGTCAAAGTTCAGTACAGGCATATGACTATAGCATGTAGTGAAGCACAAAGCTAAAAATGGAAAGGATAACTGAAAATCTAAAAACAAAATATGTTTGTGGGTCACAAATGGGACCCAGTGAGAAAAGCAAAAAGATTTAATAACAAATAAAACAAGTACAAAATGTTGTCCCTATTATGGATATTTTGTGAAATCCTCATGTAAGGAAGAAAGTTAAGCTTCATTAAGAATATAGAACTGAACTTCTGCAACAGTGTGTGTATTCACCTGTTAAATGAAAATTCAATTTCCACTTCCAAATAAAGTATATAAGTATTTCAGTTTGGATAAATACACAATGAAATCCATTCTTCTGCAACTTCTGAAAGTTGCAACTCTTTTTACCTTGATTTTTGTTAAGTGTTAAATTTAGCATCTCATTTCTTTTCATTTTTTGCTTTGGTCCAACAAACGACCCAATTGGGAATTAGCAATGTAGAATAAAACTGGAACCATGTAATATGTACATTCACACAGGCAGATTTTGTCTCATTGTAAATAGAGGTGTAAAGGCACCACATCTACTGCAGCCATATCTATCCTTCTTCAGGTCTGTTTTGAATTCAATTTTCCTTCTCGAATGGTTGCCACCTCAAGACGAGAGAGATCAATTAACCTCTAGCTGGTAGAAGATGGACTTGTGCCTTTTATTGAGGGTATTAGCACAAAGCAATCAAGTGGGAATTGAAGTCTGCACTTTGCATTCATTTTCTATATTTGTAAGCATTAACTTATTGGTGCCTCCCAGGCAAAATCCCTAAAACCTGATAACTTACTGATGTATTGCCATGCTGGAAACTAGTCCCCCTTTTCAAAGATAGTGGCATAATACTTTTCATTGATGTGATCCAGCACTGTGGTACCAATAAAACCAGGACTAAACTTTATTTTAATAGAAATCTTAAATGCAATATTTTATTATCTTTCAATCTGCAACATTTTCCTATGACACTAAAGTGTGAGTATACATAAGTGACTCAGCTGAAGATTTTTTTTTTTTTTTTTAAATCAAGATATGCATTTAATAGAAACTCTATCAAACCTTTAAGTATAAGTAACTCTTTGCTTTGCAAGTATTGCCTACATGTTTTCTTGTTTTCCACAAATGATGAAATCTGAAAAAACAAAGTCTGTCTCACCTGTTTCACAAGTTCTTTATATTTGACTGGATAGCAACCACGGGGGTTCTCCAACAGCAAGGTACCTCGAGAACCACGCCTGCCCTCATTTGTGGTCATGCCACATAACTCCAGGTTGACAAATTTGCATGTGGGAACAACACCATTTTGTACCGGGGCGGCTGTTGGAAGATCACTTGGGATGCTGTCAGATTCCTGCCGTTTTACAATAATCATTTCCAAATCATCAGATTTGATCTAGAGACAAATAAAAAATAGAGATCAATTAGGAAACTCATTTCCCAGTTTTCAAAATATAGCTCATCAACCTGCAAATGTTGCTTGAGCCAGAAATATTTTTTTTTTTTTTTTAAGATAATGATTTACCAATATAAGTCTTATTAATTAACCCATAGCTGGGGGAAGAAGAGGTGGATTCATACATTTCCCAAGGATATTTGCATATAATGAACCCAAATGGAATTGGATTAACAGTTCCAAATCACTGTCCATTACACCACCTGCACATCAAAGCTTACAGCACCTGGTATTCCCAAAGAGTCACCCATCTAGGTACTGACCATTGCTTAACTTTGGTGATCATATGGGAACCAGCATTTCAACATGATATGGCCATTAGCCTGCATGAAATGAGAGACATCCAATAAATTTCTAGTTAGATTAAAAGAAGTGGGGGGAAAAATGAATGAATTTCAAAGAGGTGATATTTTACATTTCTGTTTTTATAAAATAGAATAAGAACAGAGAGAAAATACACCTGTATGCATTCAAAAAATTAGAGTTAAAAATTGTATGTGTGTAAAAAAAAGTTAAGATATTCCCATGCTTGGATGTTGTCACTACAGCAGGCTGGGTGGAAAACAGGGTGAAGACTAGAAGTGTTCCATTTTTATAAATGCTTGACAGCACTACCTAATTACTAACTTTTGAGCAAAGCTATATTGGGATAACCCACACACATATATATATATATATTTATTGAAGTAAATCCACACTTTCTTTTTGAACTTGTGGCATAGAGGAATCTTTTTTTTCCTTTAGTTTCCCTGAAGAACTAAGTGAAATATTGATTCAGGTGTGGAGAAACTTATTGAATCTGACTGTATAAATGCAAAAATTTGACCAAATCACAATTTACTTTTCACAAAAGAAAAGTTTTGACATCTTTATCCAATCAAAATATTTGTTGATTAAAGTTTTGTCTTGAAACTATTTTATGCTGGACAGTAAATGCATATTATGTAGAAAGAAAATATTGCTACAATCTAATCTAAGTTTATAAGATCACTTCCCCCCCCCCCAAACTGTATTTAAATATCACTTAATTAAAAAAACAGATAATACGCGTTATTGACTCAAGGGAAGTAACTCATGGAAGAAAGAAAATGATTTGTATACCAACCTGCATTTTTTCTTCAATGATGATATCAGATTTTTGGTAGCTGGACGAGTTAGGCAGCAATGGCTGTTTGATAGTTGTGTAAATGAAATCTGAATATTTTTTTATGATATCCGTCAGATATGGACTTGCTCTGTAGAAGATGGTTATGCTGTTTGATGGAACCAGGTGTGCCTGCAACAAAAGACAACAGATTATTAGGGGGTGAAAACTGCAAAATCCAGTGCTTCAAGATTTTTTCCTCTCCTTATGAAAAAAAAAAAGAAAAAAAAAAAAAATGAATGAAATAATGTTGAAAAATTATAACACTTAATGTTGACTGTGTGTTGATGATTTTGTATTTAGCAGCACTTCAACACCAGAGCGTCACAAAGGATTATAACATTATACATGTACATATAATAATAATAATAATGTCTGGTTACTTGTTCTTCAACCACACCAGTCTGCTAGGGTGGCTAGCCAATCCCTGTTGAGCAGACACCTACTCAGGCACATTTATGTTTATTCAACACCCACAGAGTCCACTTGTGGTTTATACTAACAGACCTTAATTACAGTTTCTGGGAGAAAGCACATAATCTGGCAGAATCAACAGTTATTTTTTTTTTTAAACAAGGGGCCAGTAAATTCAAAGCGTCATCATGCTAGTACAACAGTCTGACCAATTTCACTATGAAAGCTTGATCTAGAGACGAATAAAAAATAGAGATCAATTAGGAAACTCATTTCCCAGTTTTCAAAATATGGCTATTTTCAGTTATTTTCCAAAGATGGCACATGCTGAGATAACCTCAGCGACTCACCGACTAAGAGGCAAAAGACAACGAGAAAAAGTGTCAGCAAATATTCCTGATGCTATGTCTTGAGATCCCTTGCTGTTGCACAATATGTGAACTGATAAAAGGACACTAGTGGGACTGGAGTGTCAAATAAAAACTGAATGAGGTTGTCTGATCCTCATATGTTGAAATTGATAGTGTGTATATATATATATATATATAAAAAAAAGAAAAGACATTTTTATGTTTATATATTCTTTTTATAGATACAAATCTTTAAGTAAATGCTCTGTTTATAATAAACAGTATTAAACAACATTTACTGGCCTGAATGTCCGAGAAATTTTCACAGAAAATATTTGTCCTCCGACAATATTTGTATCTATAAAAAGAATGTAAAAACATAAAAATGTCTTAAAATAATTGTCAGACTTTGTCCATTTCATAGTGTGTGAGATATATATATATATATATATATATATATATATAATATATATATATTGATATATATTTTGTAAAAATAAAAATAAAAATATCTATAAGAACACCAGATTATATATCTTACTGTTCTTTCTTTATATATATATATATATATATCAAGAACAATTGTAAGCAAAAAAAAGTATGACAAAGTGGAAAAGGTTTTGTGTGATGTGTTTCGTCCTTTAGGACTTCATTAGACTAAGTTTATGTTAACATTGACATGACTACACATGTTCACAAACAAAAGAGAGACTGAGAATTTTTAGTTTAAAATAATTTTTTTTTTTTTTAATGTGTATTTTGGGTCTAGAATCTGATTTCATTTAGATTCTTTTTCTTTGTGTTTCCATCACTTTTGTTAATAAATATCTTACATTGTGATAATAGAAGATCTGCTAAGAAAAGTGAAACGCAAGAACCTGATGCAAATTAAAACACTTCCTAATGTGACCTGGTGATTAAAACACTTCCTAATGTGACCTGGTGATTAAAACACTTCCTAATCACCTTTTAAAACAGTTTAATAAATTGTTTTCTGGTTAAAAACACTTAATGTGACCTGGTGATTAAAAACACTAATCATTTTCAGTTTAATAAATTGTTTTCTCTTAATTAGAGTAACATTTATAAATCAAAATTATGATCAGACTTATTAAGGTGAGCAACAAATGCATTTAGTGCGTTGTTTTGTAAAAATCCATTTTGTGTTCATGTAATCTTTTATTTAAATTCTCTTGTAATAATTATCACAAGGAATACACAAGTGATAGTGAATTCCTCCTTTAAGTTTTTGTTTATTTTGTTTTGCATTAAGTCTTTTATTGTTTTAGACATAATTGAGACATTTTATTTTGAGTTTAGATAAAAAATTTTTCATTTGTGTCAGGAAGGACCACTTTTCTATTTTGAAATATATTATGAGCCTTTTGTTTCACATTGAACATGAAACAATGAGGATATTGGAGGGGTTTACCTGAAGAGGCAAAATACATCAAAAATACTTTCAAGCACCTCAAAGTTTAATGTGGGATTTCAGCTGTTCAAAAATCAAATCTGCTGCTGAGACCCTCAAAACATTTTGTCATGATTTTGACAAACAAAACAGGAACACAGGTTTTTGGGTAATATGTGGTTCAAGGCCAATCCAATGTCAATTTAAAATGAGCTTTTTAGGTGATCAATAGCCAACAAAACACCAGAGAATATAGAAGAGGAAAATTTATGAATTCATCCATGAAGACAGTCACCAAACAATCAGCTCTCTCTCTCTCTCGCACACACGAGTAAAACCAGTTATGGAGTCCGCCAAGAGATCCTAGACTAGAAACTTTTTTTTATAATCATTTTACCTCAAGCAAAGCAATAAAGCCACTAAGATGCAAGGGGGTTACTGAGTGCAAGAGAATGAGAAAAACACAACATTATTAAGGAGACAATAATAAAAGAACAGGAATGAAGAAAACAGAAGATAATTGACATTGCATTTAAATTTTTGAAAATCAAAGTTGACTGGGAAGCCAGAAGAGAGTTCCACAAGTGAGAAATGCAAGAAAAGAAACTTAACATAGAACTTTCAGTTATATCTAAGCATTTCATTTGTAAGATGATGGTACTGTGCTTAACTCCTAAAGTCTCAGTACCAAAGACAAAAGCTCATCACAACAATTACCATGAAAATATTGATAGAAAAAGGCACAGGGAAGCTATGTTATGGTTGTGAGAAAGTGACAAAGTCAAGATGCCAGGTCAGGACCAATAATATTGCATATTTGAATTTTATCAAGAATCTCTAAATACATAGAAAGTGACAGCAATATGCATGGATGAATGGTAAACTTATAAGATTCTGGCAAGCAAAATTGTCTAGTACAACAGCCAACCAATTTTTCCTAGCAGCAGACATAGCAATTGATGCAATATAATCTTTTCACTTTGTCAGCAGAAAACATTAGGCCAAAAAGTCACCAGGAGTTACTTTCCTGGTGGTTGGCATCAGCCATAGCTAATAGAAGGTAAAAAGGTTCTTTTGGAAGGTTAAAAAAGAGCAGTTCTGGTTTTGGAGGTGTTAAAATTAACAAGCTATTTCTTGCTGCACTTATAGAGCCTCAGGGGACACCTACATTAATGCTAAAAGATCTAGAAGAGTGGCCATTCAAGACAATTTGATAAGAAACATTCAATCAGATCAGAAATTCCTCAAGAAATACTATAAGCTTTCAATTTGTGAAAACCAACATGCTAAACCCCGTCAAATACCTTCAAGATTTCCAAAGCAACAGTCCAAACCTCACCATTCTTATCTAAATTTTGATGGAATCTTTCAACAATAACCATCAAATATATCAGCAGTTGACCTAGAGTAGCAAAAGCCATAACACATAAATGTTATGTTTGAGTAATCTTTTTAATGTGTTGAGTGTGTTTTGAAGCAGCATGATTTATATCTGCTGGACTGGGTTTTCAAAATCATTAATAAAGAAAATGTGCTCTTCAGTCAGGTTTGAACCACCATGCCCTTTATGTAGGGAAAAACCATTATATATATATATATATATATATATATGCACATCTGTTTGTGTCTAAATGTAGAGTTGTCAGTTTTACTTACTTTCTTGCGTAATTTTTGGATACGGTTAACAACTTCTCGTGCAATTCCTTCATCCAGCATCGATTGGTCTGGAGTCACATCAAGGAGAACAAGAATCTAGCGAAGAAAAAAAAAAAAAAGAAGAAAAAATGTTATTTCATTATGTATTGGAACAAATTATTTAATTATTTATTAATATTTATTATAATTATATTAATTATTTAATCAAGACTATAAAACAACTCCAGTAAGATTCAAATCCTGTTAGTACTGAACATGTGTTCTTCACTGCAGAAATTGTTTCATATTTTAAAATAATGAATTTAAATCATGAAATGTGATTCAAACCTGTGTATTTATGTCACTTGCCACTTTTAATTTTTTTTTTTTTTGTTCTAAATGGAAAACATTAGAAGTATTACTTCATTTGCCTCCTTTGAATTATTTTCTCATTTAAAATCTTTTTGAAAACTCACTTCACTTTGATGCATTTTAAGCATTTTTGAGACATTCCCATCTACACTAGAATGTTTTTACAGTTTGTGGGGTGCAGGGTCATATAAAAAAAAAAACAGAAGAAGAAACATGCAACATAAAGTACATTTGTTTGTTTTTTTTTTACTTCTAGGTGGGTTTATTTTTTTTTTTAAATATAAATGTGGGTCTCAGCCATTACAACCCAAGTGTTTAACCCTTAAACTACACTTTTTAAAAGAATCTTTGCAGATTTACAAAGCAAAAGGTTAAGTAACAGCTCAAATTTTGTAGTTCTAATCAGATATTTGAACTTTCTGCCAGTTCTAGGATATACAAAGTATATTATAGAAAATTGAGGAGGCACGGTGGAGTAATGGATAGCGGCTTGGATTGAGGAATTGGAGAGCTGAGTTCGAAATCCAGTCAATTCATTACATTCACTTACGCGCTAATACCCTTGGGAAAGGTGTGAATCCTCTTCTTCTCCCTTCAGCTATGGGTAAATAGCAGGACAGACTGAGTTCTATAGCCTTGGATGGCAACTGGCCTAGGAGAAGGACAACTCTGAATTCAAACCCGGAGTGGAGCCTCTAAGGCGGATGGACAGCACTTTGTGCTACCTTCTGGCAAATCCTGCAGCCGCGCTGGTACCAAACTGTATTGATTTATCCTCTCCTTTGGACTCTGTTAGCAAGGCTGAGAGGGGGAACTAGATGTCTGGGCAGCCCTAGTTCTCCAGATATCCCATCCAGGCTCATAGCGCACAGCACTACTCCATCATCTCTCAAGACGGACAGATGCCGACAATGACGACGATTATAGAAAATTAAGCATGCCAAGCTGGGGCCATCAAAAGGAGCTTCACTAAATTTGGGTATGTAGGTATTTTCTTAAATGCCATGTCCACAACTTAAATATTTTTTGTTTAGTTTAATTCAGTAGAAGTAGTAAATCCCTGTGGTTTCTTGTTAAAGCCAGTGGAGTGGTTTCCTGTTATGTTCTCAAGGATTTTGGATTCAGAGTTATTGTTCTCTTTAACTGGTTGCCATTCAAGTTTAAAGAGCCCAATCTACCCTGAAATTTGACCCAGACTCAAGAGTGGAAGAGATAGACTCTTGCCTTCCCCAAGTGTAGTTACTAGTCCCCATCAACCTAAATCATCATTGGATAATATAAAGGGTGACTTTTGAAGCATTATTTTTGTAGGGAGGAGGAAATTACATGGTAGGAAATAACTTTATATAAAGTTATCAATAGAAAATAATGATTTTTAAATTTAGTTCAAAAAGAAACTAAAGAAACGTATTACCTGGTCATCTGAATGGGCCTCATAAGAACTGTTGGAATCAGAATTATTTGAATTAAACTTATAAATCAAATGTAATTCTCCTTCAGTCAAGGTATTTCCCAGGACTTCAACTGTTCCCGTGTCTTGATAATGGACCAATTGGTCATCAGTCAATCCCTTTATTGCAACCATCAGGTCTTTATATTGTTTCTTAAACTTTGTACCCAAGGTTCTGTGGTCAGGTTCAGCTGTCAGGTACACACCATACTTCTCTTTATTACTTGTAATGGTCAGTTGTCTCACATTCAGTTCCTGAAAGAAAATTAAAAAAATATCTTTTCCAGTATATTTTGGAATTGACGGATTTTAACTTCATTTCCACCCTAATTTGTCTTTTTAAGTTATTTTTATTTTATGAAATGTGAAAGAAAAAAAAAAACAACTGTTTCCAGCCCTAGATTATTTGTTTACATGTATAGGCAGAATTAGGAAGAAATGGGCTTCAAAGCATAGATCTGCTTTTAGTTCCCAATACTAAAATTACTTATCAAAAGAAATGTTTCTGCAATTTGTGGTACTTAGAAAGTGATACAAACTCATTATCTTGGCAATAAATGAAGTGCTTATATATATCTTAAGGCAATAGGTAAGCAAAAAAAAGGGGTCCTATTGGATTTGTGATGAAAATAATTCATTAAACCTTCCCACAAAAAAGGTAACCAAAAAGATGTTTTGACTGAAACAAAACCATATTTTCTTCATAAATTTAGCTGCATTTAACTTTTTATACAAACATAGGGCACCTCGAGGTGGTGTAATGGTTAGCAAGCTTGTCTCGCTAGAACAATTAAAACTGAGTAGTGAGTTCAATCCTCACTGGGTGCTCCATACTTTCGGCCTTGTGCCGCATCTAATCTACGCTTGGAAAATCTCCATACAAAGATAATTCATCTCTCAAGTCAACTCTACCAAAGCACTCGCTTATCAAGTCTTTTGACCAATATGATTTTTTTAACTTAATTTCAAAGCTTGAGAGTCAGTCAAGGTAAAGGGATTCAGTCAATGTAAATTGTAATGCTGAATGAGGTGAGCTATGTGAATGGAAGAGAGAAGGTGGTAGGAAATGAAGACGAGGATGACCAATCGACCCTTGACATTAAGAGATACAAGATTGAAATGTTCAAAAGAAACATTCACATGGGAGTGTTCCACAGAACAGCAGTCCTTGAGGGCAAAAAGCTATCTGAATGGAACATGGAGAAAATGAGAATGAATATCAGTGATATTTGGTGATAATATTTAGCACAGGAAGAAAAGGTTTCAAGCCTATCCCAAAGACGATGGATAAATTGTCATGTAAATTATGCAAAAATGAAAATAATAATGACATCTCATTTTAATATATATTTACCAAAATTACATAAAAATATCTTGAAATACCAAAGAGTAAATTTATTCAATAAAATCGTCATTGGCTTCAACCACGGCTTCCAGATGACTTTGGAATCTCCTGCAACTCTTCTGAACAGTCTCCTTGTTTAAGTTGATGAATGCTGCCATAATCCTTGCTTTAAGTTCATCTTTCGTGTTACTAGGAATTTTGTTGCTTTCTTGCTCAGCTGCGCCCCACCCATAATAATCAAGGGGGTTGCAGCTTGAGGAGTTAGGTGGCCAGATATAAGGGTCACAGAAATTGTCTGCAAGCCATGACTGCTTCATGCCATACATGCAGGAGAACGCAGAGTCCTGTTGCCAGATGTAGGGTCTGATAGTCATGACTTTGCACCATGCCACAACAGCAGGAGAACTAAGTCCTGTTGCTAGATGTAGGGTCTTCCAGCAGCCACCCTCTTGACTCAGGGCAGCACTACCTCCTCAAGGCACTTGATGTAGGTTCCATGTTGAGTCCGAGACCCTGTGGGAAGATGAATGGGGGCAAAACATTGATATCACTAGTGATCACATCAAACACCTTTGTAATCATTATTAGACTCATCCAACTCTTTCCAAATCCTCTGCACTGTCTTCAGATTGATAACCAAATGCACTGAAATGTTCGTATTGGCACTTCTGGATTTACCCATCGCACCCTGTACATGCCATATTAACACAATTGGGCTGAACTAAAATCTTAATTTCAATGGCAACCATGAAGCCACCTGATACTTCTCAAAAAGATACAGTAGAAGAGGCATACTCTCCCACACTCGCCACCAGTATTTAAATATGATACAAGTATTGGTAAAATGGATGAATCAAGTTGTAGAATTCAGTTATCAAGATTATAATTACAATAGATTATAGAAAAATTCTTATCCTGACCAGGAAGCCTATATCCACCAAAATTCTGATATTTGGTCAACTTTTGGGAAGTGAGTCAAGGTCAAAAAATTTACAGCACTATTCCATGTATATGTCCTCATTTTTTTTTTTTTTTTTTTTAACTCACTTATGCTTTATCTCACAACCACCTTTCATTCACTTCTTCCACATTCTCTCTTCCCATGTATAATGGGTGTGTATATCTTTAAATATTTTAATGGAATAGACCCTCTGTTTTTAAAAGAAAAAGGCAAAAAAAAAAAAAGCTATATATACCTGCCTGAGTAATCAAGAGACTTAACACATTTTAAGACTTTTGAATGCACCAATTGATAGATTCATTCAGCATTTTAAAAAGGAAAAGAAAAGAAAACTGTCTACTTAAGCATAACATTTTAAATTACTAAGAAATATTGTCAGGTTAAAAAAAATTATTAATTCCTTAGGAATTTGTGTGTGCATATATATTTATTATATAAATATATATTTGCATAAATGTATATATTTGCATGATTTACATAAAATAAATTTTTTTTTTTTCATTGTTTGACTGAACTTATTGATGCCTGTATGTGTGTGTGTACACATTTGTTACAAACAGAAGGTGTAACAAAAAATAAAATCTCTTACAAACCTCCAAAATATATGGTTCTAATGATTTGATATCATTTAAGGCTTCTGGGTCTTTGTGTATGGCAACAATTTCTTTCAGCGGATACTGGAAGAAAATAAAATAAAAGTGTTTACAAAACAGAAAGTAGACAAATGGAATAATATAATAAATCTCTAGAATTGGTTAAGGACAGAATCTGGTTGGACATGGCAAGTATAAGTCATAGGATCCAAATAGGGTTTCAACAAAATTAAATTTCATGATATTAAGAGAGACTGATAAGTTTTCCAGGTCCTACCATCAGATATGAACTTTGATAGGAGCACACCTGCAGATACATCTTGTCTTTGACAGAAATGAAGAGTATGACAGTTTTAAAGTTTGTATTAAATGTTCAATGTGCATATAAACTAAAAATAATACAAATAAATATTTCATACATTCTTAATTTTAATTCTGGCATAAAGTGTGTGTGTGTGTGTGTGTATATATATATGTATATATATATATATAAATATATATAAAGAAGAAATAAATAAACAAGAAAGAAAAGAAAGAAAGAAAAAAAGAAACAAACAAGAAACAAAAGAACAAACAAGAAACAAAAAAAAAACAAACAAGAAAAAAAAACAAACAAGAAAGAAAGAAAAGAAACAAACAATAAAAAAGAAACAAACAAGAAAGAAAGAAACAAACAAGAAAGAAAGAAACAAACAAGAAAGAAACAAGTTCTTGCCTGAAAAATACATTAAATTCTTGTAATTTTCACATACTTTAGTTATATTATCATTAAATACATAAATTTATGTCATGTGACTCATTTATCTTAGACAAATTTCTGTTACTTATAACATAATATTTAACTAATCTGCTCATATCAGTGGTGTTAATAAAACGTTTAAAGTAGAAAATTCTTTTACAGAATTTGGTCATCTCCACTTTTAATTATAGAATTTTTTTTTTATCCACCAAAATATTAACTTATATTTGGCCTATAATTCTAAAAACATCTTTATCTCATTTATTACATAACAATTACCCATTCTCTTCTGCTTGCCTCTCATTCTTTCCCTGTATCTCTTCATTTACTCCCTTATCCATTCCAACCTTCTTTGCTCATCCATGTTTTTATCTAAATGCTATATAAACATTGATTAGTTTTCAGATGCAAAAACAAGATATGCACTAATACTTTCAACTGTATTCCTCTTATTCTTCTACTGCTCTGTCTCTTCACAAAGATTTTCAAATGCATTGCAATCCATATTTGCTTTTGCATCTTTCATTGTCTCTTTAAATCCACCCAGTAAGCCTGTCTTCCATTTTCATCCATTTCTCCCCTCTGTATAAGTTTATTTTTTTTTCTTTTCACCTGGTTTCTTTAGGCTTTTTCCTTCTTTCCTTTTCCACTTACCTTTCCTACTTCATAAAATTTCTTTCCCTTTTCCTAATTCCCTCCCACTTAATATTAGAAAAGTTTCCAAAAAAGCGTAAATGATTCAAGCTCAGAAAGGTTAGGGGTCAGGCAGATACTACACTCTGACCATCAGTAGAAAAGTTCATACAAAATGATTTCAACTTGGGAGATCATCCAGCAGTAACTACACACTGATCCTAAAAAGAAAACCATAATCATATATACAAATAAAAGAACTATCAGAGTAACAGCAACATATATTGCCTATGAAGACCTTGATGTTCTTAGTTTGGTTTGGTTTGTCTTACGGCATATCAAACTCAATGGGTTATTTTACAAAAATTTATTTCTGGTAATAATTTTCCTTCAAATATGTATCGCTGGTAATATTTGTTTTTTAAAAATGTATTGCTGGTAATAATTTTTTTTTTTTTTGACAAAGTATTTCCAGTATTAAAACCTATTTTTACACTTTCATAGTGTTTTGACCCCAGTTTGGGGGTTAACTATTTGCCCATAGCTGGGACCCTAACAGGTTCTACTACCCCGGGTCAGGGTGGACCTGGGAACACTAGCAATTAAGAGGTGGTTCCTACACTCCTCAAAACCTGATCAGAGGCCTTGTTGTCGCACATAGTTTATCGTCTTACCCAGGATGGTTGATGTTCTTAGAAGTCTTACCTTCAGGGGTAAAGTTTTGCGGTCTCTAACAACTCGGCCCAATTCAATAACAGACTGCATTCTGAGAACAGCTTTTTCAACATCAGTTTTGATGAGACTTTCTCTGAAATAAAAGATAATTTTAAAGTTAAAATACAATTTAGGGCTTAAATTCAAAGCTGAATGAATTCTTCATATTTGATATTTCAAACCTGTTAATAATTTGGAATTGTTATGACTTTAGAAATAATTCATTTCTTTCTACAAATCCTTACAAAAAGTAATGCACTTTCGGATTTTGTTATTAGTCAGTCATTAAATTTTCACTAGCCTTCATTTTACTGCTACTCTTGAGAAAATAAAAAAACTCAGTTGAATTCTCTTCAATCGTTTAAGCAGCATGAAGAAGGAAAAAAGTAACTTCTCAAAGGATTCAAATCCTCATTCCATATCTCCGGAGTTTGTCTTTCATTGATGGAATCCAATATGAGCCTGAAAGCCTATGGCTAAACAGGACCTAAATCTATAATCACACTGACTTTCTTACTCTAAATTTCTCAACATTTTTTACTTGTAAAATAAACTTTGACACGTACTTTAATAATGAAAATTTTTCCTGAAATTTGAAAATGTGAAATTATGTTTTAGTAATCCCAAAGAGATTAGCAATACAATTTTTACTTAAAGGGATTTATGAAGAATCTTTTTCTTTTTTTTATAGAGATGCTGATAATGGCCAATTTAAATCACTTGAAGGCAAAAGGAAAAGAATTATCCACATCCTGAGGATTAAGCAATTTAGCACTTAGTTTAAAATATCAAATGACAAAGTCATGGAAGCCATGTGCTGGATTTCTCTAGGTTTTTAAAAATAAAGAATAGGGAAAAATTGGCCAGGAAAGGGGAGCGGGGTGTAATGTTTATAGATTAACATTCATTAGACCTTCCGGAAGGTGTGACATTTGTTAGAATCCCAAAATTATTGATTTGTATATCATTTTATAATATTGATAGTACAAAATCAATCCCTGACTTTTTACACAGTTGTATGTACTTAGCTGTTCTGTACATAAAAACAGACTTTTTATTTTTTTAACAAAAAGATTTAACAAATGGATATATACATTTTTAATTAAAAAGCAAAAATTTACATAAATTCATAACAGTATATATTTGTTTATTCTTATTCAAGATAAAGAATTATTAATCCCACACGTGTGCATGTGTTTCAGAAAATAAATCTCCTAAAAAAAACAAAAACAAAACAAAACCTTTAAACTTCATATATATATATATATATATATATATATATATACATACACACACACATATACATACACACACACACACACACTCGTTGAATTACCCACAACTTGCTACATGTCACACATTTTTTTTTGTAAGAAAATGAATGATTTTAAATCATTGGTATAATTTGTGGAGAAAAATGGAGCATTTCAATATTACTCAATAATCTTGCCAATGTGTCCTCCATCTTCTGGGTTTCTCCCTCTATATTTTGAATAAGAGTCATTCCCTTGTTCAAATGAAAAATTTTCAGTGGGAGGAGGGGGTGAATTTACACTGAATGGATATTAGAAACTGGACCCCTCTTCTAAATTGATAAAGAAAATTTAAAAAAAAAAAAATACTTTTTTCTTTTATTTTAATACTGACAAATGTATCTTGAGAAAGGTGTAATGAATGTTAATTTACAAAAATTATTCCTCAAAAATAGTTTTAAAACAATATGTTTATAATTTTAATAACAAGAAACACATTACAAACTATTTAATTATTAGATTGTTTACTTACAAGATTAATTTTATATTTACAAGATTTAAGCATATGTGAATGTTGGAATTGATTGGCAATTAGCCAACCATTCCAAAAGAATACAATTTGCCAGCTTCACCAATATCTTTAGAAAAATTAGCAATAATTAATAAATAAAAATTTCCAAAATTAACCTACCTAATGAGCTTATGTAAATGGATGGCAGAACAGGAATTGGGAGAGATGGTGAAAAGAAACTTTACTAAGAGCTACAAAGAAGTTGCAGAAAGCCATGACTTGAAGAGACATGCAACATAGGATTTATACATATGTAAATAACCAAACTGTAAGATTTTAATACAACATAACTATTAAAAGATTGAGAAGAACATCAGGAAATGTGGAAAATGTATGCATGTGTATATACTGTTATGTCGTGTATCCACTAAGTTCTTCTTTTTACTTCCGTTCTCGTTGGTGTCCATTTATCATATATATGAGCTACCTGCTCATATGCAAATTATACTAATTTGCATATCACTACATATACATTTCATATAAACACATACAGAGTAATTCTTTAAATTTGGTTTTTCTCATGCTCTCCAATAACAAAGCTAAATTATAGATGAAAAGAAGTCTGACCCATGAAGCTATAAGAAAAACAAATTATGCAGCACTTATTTTGATTAACTGTGTTACTTAGAGCGATTACTCCACTAAGTATGTAAATGTAAATATAGTCTTAATTGGCAATAATATTACATGCTAGAATTTTTTTGCAACACGCTGATGTCTGTTAAAATCCTCACAGTATTTAGTATTGTTGAAGTTATCACTTCCTCTGCCTTTACAGTGCTACTGCCATGCATTATATTTTACCAGAATTAAATATATATTAAAGATATGAAAAACCAATATATAAAAATTTTATTTTATTATTTGTAAAAGAATGTTAAAGATCTATGTATAATTGTCTAAGTTGTTTTTGTTTTTTTATATACATTTTGAGAAAAGTTTATTCTTCAAAAGGGGGTAGACAATTTATGCGTTAAATTTTGTGCATATTTTATGGCCTTTTAGGCTCAAGCAGTGAACTACCAAAATTGTTAAAATTGTTTGAAGTTCTTTGGATTTATTTTTTAGAATACTTGGAGAGGGTTTATATATATATATATATATATATATATATATATATATGCCAGTGAGAAACAATATCAAATTTTGGGTGGAGCCAATATCACTTTTTCAATAAAAAGGACTGCTATCAGCTATCTGAAGAAAGATGGCGATAAGGCAGAGGAGAAAGAGGGCGATGAGGCAGAGGAGAATATTAGACAGCACTCAAGGATGTGCCATTGATGAGAACAGAAAGAGCATAGCATCCCACTTCAAAGGACAGTCCAGCCATAGGTCATAAATCAGACCTGATAGATAGAAGGCAAATTCCTACACCAGAAAATTTCACACCAGGAACATACAAGTGAACTTTATATAACACAAATCGCCCTTTGAGTGGAGACGTTCTGTTTCTTCATACTGTTAAGAACAAAGATTGGTGCTACTTGAAAAATGTCTGCCTTGTGCCATTTTGTTAGTTTTTTCTCCAAGTTTTTCCTGGTTCTTTTCTATTTATGAAGAGATTAATTTTTGTACATGAATGCATTTCTTAAACTAATTGTGACATTTTTTATATGTGAATCTGTTTATCAAACTGTTAAATATTTTTTTTCTTGTTTCTGTGAGTAATCTTTTTTTTTTTTTACCCCAAGGAAAGTGTTATCCTGTCCAAAGAGGCACGCAAAAGGAAAATTCTGTGCAACCTTTGTTTTGTACTTTTCAAATTTGTAATTTTAAATAATGTATTGTTGTTTTTAAAATTTGTGCAGTGGTCTTTTTGTTTCTTATGTCGCACCTATTTTCGAAAATTTCTGTTTCTACCAACTAAGATTTGGTGTCTGGCACAAGAACTTGGAATTAGTAGGAAAGTAAAATTTTAATAAATATTGAATTTATATTAAATAAGTATTTGTTACTTTAATCATTAAATTTTTTTTAAAAACAGTGGGAGTATTTTGTATGTTAAATAAAATTTTTAATTTTTCCAAAAAATTAATGAAAATTTATTTTACTAAGCTACACACCCTAGTGAAATCAACTGTACTTTGTACCCCCTTACCTGTTTGCACTTCTCCCCAAAATTTGGTTCCAATCAGTCAACGTATGGCTATTTTAGAGGGTGTGACAGACAGACTAACAGAAGTCACAGAATTTTATATTGTGGCACCTTCATTAATAGAAATATTCATAGAAATATGATTTAATTTTTTCTTACTCGGTTTACTAAACAGGTTGTTGATTTTTTTTAAAACGGAAAATAATTGAGTTGAAAAATAATTCACTAAGATTGTACCTGGACGATCCTAAGGGAAGAAGAAGGAAGGGGAAAGAGAGAGGCTCAGAAATACAAAAAAAAAACGGTCACTGTCAGAAAGATTTTTTAGCATGTTGACCGAATTTTTAAAGACAATTGGAAGAATAGAATTTTAAAAAGAAAGAAAGGGAAAAGACATGATATCAAAACAGGCCGCTTGATGAAAACCAGATATCGGGTCAAAGCATCTAGCCTACTTTTTGGAGAAAGGGAAATTTTTTTTTTTTTTTAATCAGAGAAAAGTGTCTTTTGGGTTGAGGGAGGACCGTGGAACGGTATACAGATTCTGACCTGTTAAAAAATTAGAACCCCCACATTGACGAAAGTGAAAGATATTTTCAATTCAGATAAATTAAGATTTTCTGACTGCACAAAAAAAGCAAGAGGTGGAGGAGGCGATTGTTAATCATGGCGACAGTATTCTTTCCTGAAGTCACAACTAATTAGCGGGCGGGCTGGTTGACAGAGCCCAGGTGAGAAAATTAAGCCAAGATTGTCATTTTTTCGTACGCGCAGAAAAGGCAAAAATTGATTTTGTTTTTTTAAAAACAAGAACGACCCCATCTCAATTTGGTTTCTGCAGAAAAGAAGAGAAAGAAATGCTTTGGTCGAAAAACGTCACCTGACATACTTAAGAGAGATTTGCACCTCCCCACAAAAGGCACTGTGGTGGGGCGAAAAACAATAGCGATAATGAGAAATCAAAAAATGCGACTTTTGAATTATCAGAAAACCCTGTTCTGTGTTCAGCCCGGAGGCAAAACGACAGAGAGTTGCGGCTGAGTTATGCAAGAGATCCTTCCAGCCCAAGTCAAGACAAGAGAACTTCCAGCCTAAGTCGACAAAGAAGAAGAAGAAGAAACAACCAAGTCGAAGACAAGAGAACTTCCAGCCCAAGTCGAAGACAAGAGAAATTTCCAGCCTAAGTCGATCAAGAAGAAGAAATACAACTGTAAAGAATTAATGATCAGAAATTAGTAAAAACCACACTCCGAAAAAAAAGAGTAGGCACAAATAGGTTGTGTGATAGAAAGCTTGTTTTTCAGAGCGGGTTGGGAAATGAGAACAATTTTATTTTTATGTAGCGGACATTAAGATATAAAAGGTTGTTACCCATTTTTTTCATCAGCAATCTTTTTTGTCTCGTGAGTTTATTTTCTCTTTTATTTGTGTTTTGCCATTCAACTAAATCCCTGCTGGTCCCGTCTGTCTAAGATCTAAACACAGCGTGGGTAGACAGACCGGAGATCGGGCACAGTTGCTTTAGTGACCAGGTATTTCATCTGACCAAGGGGTTGAGCGGCACGCTTCCCAGGAGGAGCGAACCGCTTGGCGCCAGAACCAAAGGATCCGACCCTGGGCCAGGTGTGTAACCGTCACTAATATAAGTGACAGGTGGCTATAGAAAGTCACTGTTGATTTTTTGTATGGCTAATTTTTTAAATAATACCCTATCTATTGTTTGTGTCATGTGGCAATAACTGTAAGTAAGCAGATGCACTAAAATAAGTAACCAAGTAATCATTTTAAATTCTTTGAATATCAGTGCCTTAGAAAAATTAACCACTTACTGTACTTGTGGATATAAAAGGAAGTGAATGCTTCTTGTTTCTTCTTTTGAGTCTTTCTTTTTGGCCACCAGGTGGCGCAAGTTCTGGTACATATGTTCTGTGAGGAAAGGAATAAATGGAGCCTGAAATTAAAGGAAATTTATGATCATTTTTCACTGTAATTAAACAGTAGTAAAACAGAAAAAAAAACATATTGCTAATTTTCAGCTTTTACTAATGCTTTGATAATGTGGATTTTAGATTCATAAATGGTAATGGCAGCAGTTTCCTTATGAGGAAACATTGATCGAGCAGCCAGTACTATCATTGATTGAAATTAATAAAATCTTTCTATTAAAACAATTTTTCAGGAAAATAGGTTTCTCAAGTCAGTAGTCATTTTCACTCTTTCCAGTATTAAGGATGGTGGGGGGGGTGCTTCCTTCCAAATCTTTTATTTAAAGTACTGTGGACTGTCAACATCTTGATTATGTAATTTTCTCAGAGTTACAGGTGCTTATTCGTTTTCATTGTTGCTGCTGTTGAAATCTAAATGAGGCTTTTATTATTTGGTATAATTCTTTGGGATTCTGCAGCACCTTTCCATAAGGTTCAAAGAAGGCTGGTCCTAAGACCTACAGGCTTAATTTGCTTGAAGTCATTTTTAATCATTGATCTGAGATAGCAGTTGTATAGATCTAACAGTTTAGATATGACTGAACAAGTTTGGTACCATTCATGGCATCCATATAAAAATGAGGAGGCTATTTAAGAACATGACTTAAGTTTTTAGGCTAATGTTTTGGTTTTGGAGCAACTTGCCGTATTGTACAAAACTACCTCAAGTGCAACTTATTCAATGTTCAATCTTTGTTGTAGGAGCAGACATCAAATTTAATATTTATTACTGTTGTAATTTTGGCTAATCCTAGTTGCCAAAATGTTGTAACCTAGGGAAGGTTACTGAATAGAATAATCACACAAAGGTTGCTAATGAACGATAATACTTAGGACAAGAACAACACATATAAGATTCACCAGAAACATGTAGAAGTAGTAGTTAACTGCTAGAAGGGAGTCAAGTGAATTCCACAATGAATCTCCAGCTGCAGACCAACATAGTGTTTACTACTGTATTTATGTGAATGGGGATATACCCATTATCATCCATAGGTATGCTACAACAATTTCAATGACACAGCCTGACACTTTATGAGTTAAACTTCTACAAATGAAATGAGAGTTTTTGATTCACATAAATTTCAAGTCCTCGAAGAATTCATAATTTCATTCTATTGACCCCCATGTGGAGCATAAGCTGGTTTGCAACTATGTCAAAAGATGCTGCTGCAGTTTCACCATCAAGGGAATTTTTACAGTCTAAGATAGACTACTAAAAGGACTAAACAGTCTCCAACTGCCATGCTATTTATCCATACCTACTTGGTGAAGTTAATATCTGCTTTTTACCCAAAGGCCTTAATCCAATGTGGACAATTCAGTTTGTGTATGAAGGCCATCTGTACATCCATTGACCATTAAGTTTAACCTGAAAGGGTTTATAGAGTGGAGTTTACTCGTACACAAATAGATACATAACTAGGCAGGTCAAAATGTTACTCACAAGTGAACTGTATTATGCAAATTTGTAGGCATCCATTTGTAGGATTTATTGATTTGTCTGTTTAACAGCATATTAACTCCTTATGTGTCATATACCGACCAAATTTAATTTTCTTGAAAGCTTGGAAGTAATAAAAGTGTTATTCTGCTTTCACAATTGAATACATGGTAGATGATGCTTAGCTTTTGTGCATGTACATGTTTGTGAGGACATGACTATTAGAAGTTTGTGTGTTTTATGTTGTAGTTTTGTTGAAGTTATATTTTGGAATACAGTTTGATTTTAGAAATTGTCAGATATATGGTTTAATGTCATGAAATCATTCTTTCATGTTGGTTGTTTGGTAATATTTTAAACGGATTTGGGTGAAGTCGTTACAATTTGTTAGTAGTGTGCATATTGCTGGTAATTTCTACTATAAAAATGCATTTTTATACTTTCATAGTGTTTTGTTTGTGGTTAAACTATTTGCCCATAGCTAGGACCCAAACAGGTGCTACCACCCGGGTCAGAGCGGACCTGGGAACAACAGCAATTAAGAGGTGGTTCTACAATCACCAAAATGATCAGAGACCTTGTAGTTTATTGTCATATCTAGGACTATTTACAGGCTTCTTTACTTACCATGACTTTGGTCATTGTGAAGAGGACCCCAAATAAGGTCTCCAGGGCAGATAAACATTCTTGACAACCCCCTTCTCCCTGAAAGAAAAATTGTGACCAAAATTTATCAACTGATTCATGAAATAAAGAGATTTGTAAGTTTGCAGTTCTTGCCAACTGGAGTTTAACAGGCAAAAAACTTTCAAAAATATTCTAGGGAATTTTCAAGTGATTTTTTTTCTAATCATACTTTTATTTACTTTTTACCAAGTGAGACTTAGAAAATTTTAGAAGCATAAATTGTGCAGTATAAGTCTCCAGAAACAATGAATATAGAGCCTTAGAAATATAGACACATGCAAACAGTTTGTAATAAAAAAAAAAAAAAAATATATTCTATATCAAAAATTAAGGAACAAAACCATTTTGTCATTCCAACATAACTGGGAGAAGGACTGCTTGAATTGAACCCTATCTAGACTACAGTACTTTAGTATCTGTCTATATTTCTGAGATGAGGTATTGTAACTATTTACATCATTTGAACTATTGCCCTCATCTTTATAGCCATATTCACATTTCGTCTTTGTCCTTAATTTGATATACATTGGAATTTTGAACTGAATCTTTTTTGGGTAGATTGTTCTAATTCCACATGCCATGCCACTCTTGGATATTTCAGTATCAGTTTTTGTTCCTTCTTCTGTGGCCAGGTATTGAACTCACAACTATTTGAACCAAGTCACTTTTTTTTGGATTACCCAACCAACACTTATCTACTGGGCCATGTGTCTTTGATAGAACAATCTACTCTTGTGTACTAAAAAAAGGGTTTGGTTCAAAATTCCAACATATATCACCTGAAGAAGGCTGGAGTATACAACAGTTGAAACATCATGAATATTTTTATAAAAATGAGGACAATAGTCCAAACAATGTAAATAGTGTAAATTAAGTTCAGTATTCAAAAGTTTCTCAAAACACAGTTACCTCCACCTCTAAAAAAAAAAAAAAAAAAAAAAAAACAAAACACGGAGAAACATAATTGCCTAACTTTTTTCTTTTTATTTTCTGCGACTTCTTAAAAAAAAAAAAAAAAAAAAAAAAAAAATCTTAGACCAGATGCACCCAACGCAAGACAACTTAGTCAAACTTATTTGACCTGTAAATGGGAGTGGTGAGGAGAAAAGGAGGGTAATGCCAATGGGGACAAACTGTTGGAGGTTAGAAAATTAATCCATATGCTGAACACCTTTCCAAGCATTCACATTAAAAGAAAAAGAACCAAATAGAAACAAAGATTTTAGGCATTTACTTACCTTTAACCTTTTCCTGTTCATACGGACATACCAGTTGGTCAGTTGATCAACAAATTTGACCAAACGTGGAATCACAGTGAACAAGCGATAAGCTGGATAAAAAAAAAAAAAAAAAAAAAAGATTGCATGCATATTTCAGAGATAAGCACAACGATTGAATGTAAGTAATTCGTAGTTTAGTGGCAGTTTTAATTTTCATTAACACCACCTTTTCACTGGATTAAAATAAATATTTATAACGAAAAATTAAAAACTTTTGCAAACTTTCCATAAAATGTTCTCGGTTACTATCAAAATTGTTCTGATAATAAATATTAATTTTATTGAAATGTGATAAATACATTGAAGTGAGAGGGTTAGAAGGGAGGAGAGTCAGATTTGTCTATTGGACTGGGGTGGGGGTATAAAAAGAAGGAGAGTAAGATTATCGGAGGGGAGTGTGAGAAGGGAGGCGACTTTTGGAAGGGGAGCTGGTGGGGATTATGCTGGAAGGTTGTAGGTAAGAGCAGGAAGGAGTGGCAAACTCAGCAACTATGGCAGCAGCAGGGGAGTAGCAACTCAGATGTCATGGAGCAAAATAGCAATAGAGGCGAATTTGGCTGTTGTAGCTGTGAGTTGATGGGGTAAAGAAAGCCAACTTTAAATATATTACAATTTATGATACTTTACCTGCCATTTCTTCTCTCACAAACTTGACAAGGGACTGTGTGAAAGAGAGGATCCAAATGTCCATGTAATTTGATGAAGGTTTTACAGAGTCCTGGTCATATAAGAACTTCACACCATCCTCCTATCACCAGAAATAAAAAAAAAATAATATAAGGCAAAGAAAAATTTGTTTTAATCACTTCATTCACAAAGACACTACAGTTCACATGGAAATTGTTTCTAGCCACTCATTTCATTCAATAGTGACTAAACCCTAATAAGTGTAATAATCATAACTTCCAGACTATGGAGATATACTACATTGGAGACAATGGGTTCAGACAATTGGTGTCAGCAGGTGGATTTATATATATATATATATATATATATATATATATATAGTGTGTATTTAGGCATCATTTTTTCATTGATGCATGTTTCATTAAATAATATAGACAAGTTTTGTCTATTTATTTTATGTAAATTCTTTTCATATTGTCTGATAAGCTTAATAACATTATCGTTAAAAGAAGAAAATCACAATATTGATTCATATTTTTTCTGAGCTTTCGGCTTACATAAGCCATTATCAAAGATGCCAATTACATTACAATATATCAAACAATATATGGACAAAACAATAATGTATGCATGAGTTTGTCGTTGCTTGGAAATCTTCCATGTAAACATAAACAGACTATCATTATTGTTTTGTCCGTGTATTGGTTAATATATTGTAATGTAATTGTCATCTTTGCTTATCTAAGCTGAAAGCTTAGATAGGATTAAAAAAAAAAAATATGTATCCATATTGTGATTTTCTTTCTTCTTTTAATGATAATGTTATTAAGCTTATCAGACAATATGAAAAGAATTTACATAAAATAAATAGACAAAACTTGTCTATATTATTCAATGAAACATGCATATATATATATATATATATATATATATATATTTATTACATACTGAAACAGATCTTACTGCTAGACAACTGTAGCCATTTTGTTCAGTATTTTTATAACTTCCTTAAAAAAAAAAAAAATAAAATAAAAAACGAGCTTTTAGGAAAAAATTCATCACAGGCAAAACAAAAAAAAAATGTGTTTCTGGTTTTATTTTACTGTTGAGAATAAACAAAAAGTCCAGATTTGATTCCCAGTAATCTAATAAACAAAAATAGAAGAAAATGCTTTTTTTTTCATAATTTTTGCAGCTTTCAAAAACATTAAATCTGCTTTTACTTAAATTTCTGAGATGAGGAGTTATTTTTAGTTAGACAAACATCCTCCTCTTTGTTTTTATCATCAAAGGTTATCTTCTGATATCTGCTGATCCAGGTAATAAATATGGTACATTAGTGTTTTTTTTTTCAGTGTCACATGAAAGCAAATTCTAATATCAGTAAAACAATACATTTCATTGCTGTCTTCTACATTTGGCATTCTGTATTTTCCTTTCATTTATCACAAGTCAATAGTTGGCACAGAAACAGTCATTAAAAGGTACAAATGCTAAGGTAGTCAGTTGCTTACTAGCTTTTCAAACAGTATTGGTAGCTTGTCAGACTTTGTCCCACTTGATAAAACTGTAGCATCTCCTTAAGCTAGAGTTGATAGATTTTAGGGCCTAGAAGAAATAGGAAAAAATTACTAAGCACTACAAAGGATAGGAAATTGTAGAGAGTTTCCTTTGGCTTACATTTTCCACTGACATAAAAGGAGTTATTATATTAAATCAATTGCTAGGTTTGCTGCTAAGAAAGTTGGTTCAATATGTCATGCCAGACAATTTTGCTTACTAGAATCCATCTTGCACATTTATAAATCTACCAATTGTACAAGCATTGAATATTGCTTCCATATCTGGTCTGGTGATCCTGCTATATATCTCAAGATTCTTGTCAAAATCCAAAGAAGGGTTTGTAATGTAACCAGTCCTAACCCAGTATCTTGACTTCAGTCACTTTCCCACTGTTGTGACATGGCTTCCTTGTCTTTTTCTATAAATATTTTCATGGCAGTTGTTCTAATAAACTTCTTCTTTCTACCACAACCACATTAATTTAAGCATACTAGTAGATTGGCAACTAGGTTACATCATTTTACTTTTGAATTATCAAAATGTAATCCTAAGTTTTATTGTAACAGTTTCTCTTATCACATTTCTCACTTGTTGAATTCTCTTCCAGTTTCTGGCTTCCTTGCCACCTACAATCTTCAAAAATTTAAATGCAATGCCAATTGTCAGCTTCTGTGTTCATGAAACCTGGTCCTTTATTGTCCTTTCTCTGCAAAGTCTTATTCTCTTTCATGCCCTGTAACCCCTTGCATCTTGGTGGCATGATCTCCTTGCTTTGGGTGAAATGATTAAAATAAGAAAAAAAAATAAAAAATAAAAAACAAACTTACCCGTTCTAAACGTTCCACATTTTGCATAAGGAAACGGTAAGCATTATACCATGGCAGGAAGACATCTTTGAGAATATCACGGACTCCCTCCTTTTTGAATTTGAGAGTTTCAGCACGTACCACAGGGGAGTTGATCAGGTACAATCTATAATAAAATGGCTAACACTGTTTTCTCATTGTATAGCAATTGAAAATAGATCATAAAAAAAAATTATTTGCTAAATATAGTGGAACCTTGATTTACAAATTTAATCAGTTTCAGGAGTGGATTCATAACTGGAAATTTTGTATGTCAAAACAATTTTGCCCATTTAAAATATAAGAAATTAAATTAATTCATTCCAAGCCCTAAAATATTGATATAAAAATCGTATTTTATGCAAGATTAAAGTACTTTTTTTTTTTTATATAAAGAATATACACAAATAATATAAATAAATATATCACTGTGACTCCTTCCCAGGCTTTATCAATGAGATTTAAGCAATTTAGGACAATGAAGTGATTCTTCCAAAATTCTCTTAGGGTCAGGTTTGTATTTTCGGTCACTTCAAAACATCCCTGAAACAAGGCAGCTTCATCAGAGCTTGCAACATTTCCATGTCTCAATAAACTGTGGATGCCGGTTCTCTTTTTAAATTTTTCAAACCATCCTCTGCTTGCTTTAAATGCATTTTCATTTTCGGAAGATATTCCTGGTATTTTTCTATTAAGATCCACATACATTGCTCTTGTCTTTGCACATGCAATATCTTCAGACACAGAATCACCTTGTAGCTGCCTCTCATTCATCCACACCAAGAACAGCTTCACAACATCTTCTAGGGATTTTGGACGATGCTTAGTAATTATGCTAAGTCCCTTGGCTATATCAAACTTTTTTTTTTTATTTCTATCTTGTTCTTTAGGATAGTGCAAATTGTTGATGCTGAACATCCATATAGACTGGCAACGTCAGAAACACGGGTATCTACTTCATGCTTCTGGATGATCTCCTCCATTTGCACTGATATTTTCCGCCTCTTAGTAGCAACCAGCAACATTGTAGGCTACAAAAAAATTACCCACTAAAATTTAAAATCTATTGTACATCTACAGTCACATTAAATTGTACAGTGCAGTAACTGTATGAAAAATTATAAAGGAACAAACTGCAGTGATGTAATGTACCGTACAAATCAACCTGAACTGGATGTATAGTTTATTTTACTGTGTAGTTTACATGCTGTACCTGCATTTTATACATTTTACTCTAATTAGACATATTTTTTTTTTTTTACATTTTTCTACTGTATTGTATTGATACCAATTTAAAATTCAATGATTATACACTGTATAATAGACTAAAACACACTTTACAATACATAGAGATTAAACAAAATGAACTCAGCATTGTCACATTCTACCTACTTTTAATTCAATAAATTTTAATAAAATTTACATGTTAATGTACATGTACTCTATTCATTACTGTACATAAATTTTTGAACATTAAGTTTTTTTTTTATACTTACACTAATATAATCACAAATATGTGTACAATACAAATGTTTATTCTACAAGGTAACAAAAAGGACAGAGTAGGAGAATGCAATGCTCATAGCATCACACTACATCTAGTGTGATGGTGCTGTATAGAAATATATACTGTATGATAATACATCTAGTGTGATGGTGCTGTATAGAAATATATACTGTATGATAATACATCTAGTGTGATGGTGCTGTATAGAAAATATACTGTATGATAATACATCTAGTGTGATGGTGCTGTATAGAAATATATACTGTATGATAATACATCTAGTGTGATGGTGCTGTATAGAAATATATACTGTATGATAATACATCTAGTGTGATGGTGCTGTATAGAAATATATACTGTATGATAATACATCTAGTGTGATGGTGCTGTATAGAAATATATACTGTATGATAATACATCTAGTGTGATGGTGCTGTATAGAAATATATACTGTATGATAATACATCTAGTGTGATGGTGCTGTATAGAAATATATACTGTATGATAATACATCTAGTGTGATGGTGCTGTATAGAAATATATACTGTATGATAATACATCTAGTGTGATGGTGCTGTATAGAAATATATACTGTATGATAATACATCTAGTGTGATGGTGCTGTATAGAAATATATACTGTATGATAATACATCTAGTGTGATGGTGCTGTATAGAAATATATACTGTATGATAATACATCTAGTATGATGGTGCTGTATGAAATATATACTGTATGATAATAGTCTAGTGATGGTGCTGTATAGAAATATATACTGTATGATAATACATCTAGTGTGATGGTGCTGTATAGAAATATATACTGTATGATAATACATCTAGTGTGATGGTGCTGTATAGAAATATATACTGTATGATAATACATCTAGTGTGATGGTGCTGTATAGAAATATATACTGTATGATAATACATCTAGTGTGATGGTGCTGTATAGAAATATATACTGTATGATAATACATCTAGTGTGATGGTGCTGTATAGAAATATATACTGTATGATAATACATCTAGTGTGATGGTGCTGTATAGAAATATATACTGTATGATAATACATCTAGTGTGATGGTGCTGTATAGAAATATATACTGTATGATAATACATCTAGTGTGATGGTGCTGTATAGAAATATATACTGTATGATAATACATCTAGTGTGATGGTGCTGTATAGAAATATATACTGTATGATAATACATCACAGTACTGTATATAAAATATATTATAATAATATACACTGTATATAAAACATAATACAAATTACAGTATAAAAAAAAAAAATATTGTAATACTGTATAATACTACAGTATTATATATATAAAATATATAATATATAAAACATAAAAATTCAAAATACAGTATATTTAGATAAGATTAAAAAGTATTTATGGTACATTTATATCAAATATCTATTTTGAAATGCAGTGACAGGAAGCCCATTCTTAATTTAATAAGTTAAAATTAATTCATAAGTAGAAACAAATTTTCTGACAAATTTTTGTTCATATGTTAGTTTTTCGTAAGTGAAGGTGTTTCACTGTATTTAAATTAACTTTATAAAAGATCATATCAAATTTAAAAAAGGAAGTTCAAGCTTACATTTATGAAATTCTTATACATTTTCAAGTGTTTAATAAAAAATAAATTATCAACATTTTAATGAGTGGTTTCTCTTCTAGATCTTCTTGCATTAATGCAGGTGTCACCCAGGGCTCTATACTTGAACTTATGTTATTTTAAATTTTCACCAACAACCTTCCTGATGTTATCAGTTCTCAACTCAGTATCTATGCTGATGACAACTATTTACTTCTGTTTTAATAAGAAGCCTGATTGGTTCAATAAGGTTAAATTGGCAGATGATCTCAAAAATGACCTACAATCTATTGTTAACTGGGGCAAGAAATGGCTTGTTAGGCCCAAACTAGTAAAATCTGGATTTGAGATACTCAAAAATAGGATTCTATTTTGTAGAGACAATTAGAAAATAATTACTAATGATTAGCTTTTATTTTGAAAAGCAGAAAAGAGGGACTATGTTTTTGTTTTTTCCCCAGCTTGTGATGAGCCAAGTTAAATCCCCTAAAAACAATGATTTTTTTTTTAAATTTATCCACAGCACCTTTTCTTATCAATTTCTCAGTCATCCAACACTTCACATTTTACGATAACATTTAATCTCAAAAGTATACTTTTTAATCAATGTAGAGAGAAGTAAGGGTCTTGAATCCTCAAAACCTTACCTGAGGGCATCAGCACCATAGCTGTTGACAATGCTTACTGGGTCAGGATAATTCTTCTTGCGTTTACTCATTTTTGTTCCATCTCTTTCAAAAAAAGAAATAAAAATTACACATAAGGTTGCATTATACAAGTACAATAAAATCTGATGATGAAAACACACAACATTTCACAAATAATGCTGCATTTTGGGAAATAGAATAAACAAAAAAACATATTTAGAGATTCTTAATAAAATTCAAAAAAGAAATAATATTATTGATCCTGATCAGGTACCTTGACTTCCGTCACTTTATGACAGTAGAAAAGTTCTTATTTTAATACTGCTCAGTTATTGCTTGCCCGGTTTCCACTGAGTCCAAGTACATAATACCCAGCCCAGTTGGTTGTTTTTGTTTCGCGGCATATCAACCACTATGGGTTATTTTAATGCCAAAATTTTAATATTTTGTACGCAATTTTATTTTTTTGAAGACAATAATAGTTTTAATGATGCAAGTCTTTTGAAGACGATAATGGTTTTAATGATTGTAGTGATACTAGCAAATTAGTATGCATAATTTGCATAAGCACACGTGAACACTCATAAGTGGTCACTGAGAATAACGAAGGTAGTACACGAGTTTAGCGGCTGATTAGTGCTAACCTCAACATCACAACAATGGCGTCACCGATAGGATATCAATTGTCTCTGGAAGATCAAGATTTCATGGATACATGCATTCGTTGTTTCTCTGCCACTGCGAGAACAAAAAAGTTGAAAGACAACAAGGAAAAGGGAGGCAAAAATGAAATCACGGATTTATTTTTGGCTACAGCTGGATGCAAGGCGATAATGAAAGTCTCCACCATGGCATATCCCTCAAATTTGGAAAACCTAACTTTCGAAAAAATAAGTCAGATTATAAGAAAAAATATGAGACCCAAGAAAAGGCTGATAGTGGTAGAAAGAACAAAATTCATGTCGATGAAACAAGAAATTGACAAACCAATTATAAAATATCTACACCGTCTACGAAATGAAAGTAGATATTGTGAATTTGAAAAACTTGGACAAGATGAACAGGCTATTGAAGAGGACTTGATTCAATCAAGATTAATTGAAGGTATGTGCAATGCATCACACCGATATAAAATAATGGAACAACTACGAATAGGAAATATGTCTTTAAATACATGTATTGACTTTATGCAGCAACAAGAACTAATAGAGAAATACAACCATCAAATATTTGCTGATACATACATGTTAAAGAAGATAAAAAAGTGTTTGTATTGTGGATGTGAACATAAAATGAAAAAGGAAAAGTGTCCAGCATTTGGAAAAACTTGTAATAATTGCTTAAAAAAGAACCACTTTCAAGCAGTGTGTAAATTAAAAAAGAAAAACGTTGAAAGAATTGAAGAAAACGACACCAATAGGGAAGTTTTTACATTAAAAAATAAGACTTTAAAAAAAATTGAACATAAGTAAAAAGACATTATAGTAAAGGTCAAAATTAATAACTGCAATTTAGATATGCAAATGGATACTGGGAGTGAAATAACACTGATACCAAAAAATTTGGGGGAATGTATTAGTAAGCCACCTTTACGAAAGAGCAGTTTACAACACCTCCAATTTTATAGGTCGATTATAAAAACATTAGGATACTTTGAAGGTTCCTTAGAGTTAAGAAAAATTTGAAGTAATACCTATAGTTGTTACAAGTTGTGAAAAGAACCATGGACTTATTGGAAATGATGTGCTTAACATAAATTCTACCAAGTTAATTAATGAAATAAAAATGGAAAAAACTGGAAAAGTTAAAAAAACTATGAAGCAAGTTTAAAAGTAAAAGAAAATGTTTCCCCCCTCTTATTATGAGGCACGAAAATTACCAGTACATTTATTGCCATTAGTAGTGACAAAACTACGTAAATTAGTAGAACAAGACCTTCTTGAACATGTTCCCCCTGGGGGTAGCAAGTGGGCATCACCCATTGTAGTGTTGAGGAAAACAGATGGTGATTTACGTATTTGTGGAGATTACAAAATAGGAGTAAATCACAAGATATGCTCGGATTCATATCCCATACCCAATGTTGAACTTGCATTACATGCACTGGCAGGAATGACCGTTTTTTCAAAAACTAGATTTAAAAACGGCATACCACCAAATACCAATAGACGAGAATTTCAAAGAAGTAACCACAATAAATACGGCAATAGGATTACTAAGATGGAAAAGGATGCCATATGGAATAAAAACCGCAAGCGCCATATTTCAAAGGGCTATTGAACAGGTTTTAGGAAATGTACAAAATATGATTTGTTACCAAGACAACATATGCATAGGAGCTACTAATGAAAAGGAATTAAAAGAGAAAACTGACTTTGTCTTGAATAGATTAAGAAATGCTGGAATGACAATAAATGAAAAAAAATGCGTAAGCAATTCTAACAAAATATTTCTTTTAGGTTATTCCATTTCAAAAGAAGGTATATCACCAGACCAAGCCTTGATAGAAAAAATACTAAAAGTAGCTACACCTACAAATAAAAAAGAAATGGAGTCTTTTTTGGGATTGGTAAATTTTTATAGCGATACTTACCAAAATACATGGACTTGACGGAACCGTTTGCAAATTTAAGAAAAAAGAACGTGGAATTTATGTTGTCAGACGAACAGCAAAAAGCTTTTGAAAGATTAAAAGAAATTATGTCAAAGAAACCTGTAGTGAAAATGTTTGATCCAACACTCACTACAGATGCAAGTGAACATTCAATATTGGGAATATTATCACAAGAAGGACATCCGATAATGTATTTATCGAGAAGATTAACGAACACTGAATTCAATTACTCAAACATAGAGAAAGAAGCATTGGCTATCGTGTGAACAACTACTAGAGCCCGACAATTTTTAATTGGAAAAAAATTTCTGTTAAGAAGTAATCATAGACCATTAGAGTTTATATTTAACCCAAGGAAAGAATTACCCAAAGTCACAACATCAAGGATTCTACGATGGGTGATAAGATTGATGGCATTTGACTTTGATATAGAGCATGTCAAAGGAAATTCAATTCCACATGTGGACGCACTATCAAGATTGAGGTTCTACAAGGAGTCAAAAGATAAAACAGAGGAAGAATTTGAAGATTCATTCCTACATTTGATAGAGACTGATGTTTTGTCTTTAGATAGAATGGCTGCGGAAACAAGACATGATCCAGTGCTAAGTAGGATAGTATCAAGAATAAGAAAAAACTCATGGGGAAATTGTTCTTGGGTGGAAAGACCCTATAAAGAAATAAGACACAAATTAACAATAGAACATGGAGTGATTTGTAATGGGGACCTGGTAGTTCCCCCAGAAACACAAAGAAAACCGATAATAGACAGTGTACATAATGATATACACTGTGGAGTAGCGGCCACACAAAAAAGGATAAAATTAGAAGCTTGGTGGCCGGGATATTCAAGAGACATTGAGGAATATGTAAAAAGGTGTAAAAAATGTAAAGAATTAAGAAACTTTACACAAACCAAATTACATTCGTGGCCCAAAGAAGTGGAGCCATGGAGTTGTGTGCATATGGATCATGCATACATTAATGGAGTGGGACTCTTATTAATACTAGTAGACTTTCAGTTTGGCCTGAAATAATCAGGGTTACAAACAAGAAAAGTTCTACGATAAAGCAGATTCTAAGAGTCATATTTTCCAGAAATGGCATACCAAAAACCTTGGTATCTGATAATGCACCAGAATTTTGTGATGAAGAACTTAATGTATGGTTAGAAAAAATAGGGTGTAAACCATATAAGACACCTCCATATCACCCTCAATCAAACGGATTAGCAGAAAGAATGGTGCAGACCGTAGAAAATGGACTAAAAGCATCCTCTCAGCAAAAAGAAAAAGTAGAAGTTTTTCTACCAAGGCTGCTTTTAAGTTATCGTACGATACCACATGTGGGAAGACTAGAAAGCCCATCAGCTTTAATGGGAAGACAGATTGGAGCTCTGCTAACGATGTCGTATTCTACAAATGAAAAAATGTGGTACAAAAAGAACAAAGATGCAGATCCAGAAAGGGCAGAATTTATAATGCAAAAAGGCCACAATACAGCTATAATAAATAGAGAAAGAGTGTATTAGCCCATGCAGACCAAATAAGGACCCAGGGTGAAGAGGAAGAGCAAAACGACGAAGAAATGTCTTCAATTCCGTCTGATAACGAGATGGTAGAACAACCATTACAGAAGGAAACATCAGAAGACGAAATAATGCAGGATCAAGAGGGCCAGAATGTGTCTGAAAGTTCGGACGAAGACCAGATAATGCAAGAAAACATATATGACTACAGCCTAACATGGGACAGATCTAGGTCTGCCAGGGAAAGAAATACGGGAGAGAGAGAAGTAGAGCAAAGTGATGAAAATAGCATGAGAAGGAGTACAAGATCTACAAGAGGAATAAAACCCTTACGTTTCAGGGAGATGTAGTGATACTAGCAAATTAGTATGCATAATTTGCATAAGCACAAGTGAACACTCATAAGTGGTCACTGAGAATAACAAAGAAGTCGAACGAGTTTAGTGGCCGATTCGTGCTAACCACTACATCACAACAATGATACAAGTCTTTTGAAGCCGATAATGGTTTTAATGATACAAGTCTTTTGAAGCCGATAATGGTTTTAATGATACAAGTCTTTTGAAGCCGATAATGGTTTTTAATGATACAAGTCTTTTGATATAATGGTTTTAATGATACAAGTCTTTTTTAATGATACAAGTCTTTTGAAGCCGATAATGGTTTTAATGATACAAGTCTTTTGAAGCCGATAATGGTTTTAATGATACAAGTCTTTTGAAGCCGATAATGGTTTTAATGATACAAGTCTTTTGAAGCCGATAATGGTTTTAATGATACAAGTCTTTTGAAGCCGATAATGGTTTTAATGATACAAGTCTTTTGAAGTAATGGTTTTAATGGTTTTAATGATACAAGTTTTTGAAGTCTTTTATAATGGTTTTAATGATACAAGTCTTTTGAAGCCGATAATGGTTTTAATGATACAAGTCTTTTGAAGCCGATAATGGTTTTAATGATACAAGTCTTATTAATTAACCCATAGCTGGGAGGAGAAGAGGTGGATTCATATCATTCCTAAAGGAATGTAAATGAATATAACAAACCTGATGAGAATTAGCTCTCCAGTTAACAATTCCAAGCCATTATCCATTACACCACCTGCACATCCAAGCTTACAGCATCTGGTATTCCCAAGTGATCACTTATCAAGGTACAGACTATGCTCAGCATTGCTTAACTTCGATGATTGTAGGAGAACCGGTGTTTCAACATGGTGCGACTGTAAACCTGCCCAGCCCAGGAATTCAACACACAATTACTGGACCAGGTATTGTGAACTTAAACAAAGAGGTCTCAGATAAAAATGGGCCAAATTTACCAAGATGTACTTTCTATAAATTTGGTGAAGTCATTCTCAATCCATAACATAAATAACCTGATCAAATCCAGACTCTCATATGGATGTCATGCATGGTGCCAAACTAGTTCAGAAATATTTAAAATGTCAGTTGTATACCATTTTCTCAGATCAATGATTAAAAATAGCTTTGAATGAATGAACCCTGTAGATCTCAGAGAGGATCATCCTTCTTCAAACCTCATGGCCTGCTATGGCATGGCAGAATACCAAAGAACTGTACCAAATAATAGAAACCACATCACTTGAGAACTTTCAACTGCAGCAACAATTAAAATGGATATTATATTTAATTCAAAGAGAAATTGATGACATAATGAAGATGTTGATGCTCTACACTACTTAAAACAAAAGTTGAGAAAGCTTCCCCCATCAATAGGGGAAAGAGCAATAACAGTTACTGGACTTGAGAAACCTATTTTCCTGGAAAATTGATTAATAGAAAGATTTTATAAATTTCAACCAATAGTAGTACTGGCTGCTCAGACAATGACTTTGAGATAATAATAATTTAGTGATACAAGTCTTACTAATTAACCAATAGCTGGAAGGATAAGCAGTGAATTCATACCATTCCCAAGAGTATTTGCATGAAGCTAGGGGGAACTGGAACTTTGCTCTCCAATTAACAATTCCAAACCATTATCCATTACACCACCCGTACATCCAAGTTTACAGCATCTGGTCTTCCCAAGCAGTTACCCATCTAGGTACCGACCAGGCTTGACATTGCTTAATTTTGTTGATTGTATGGGAACCAATGTTTCAACATGATATGGACATAAGTCAAAGTTGGTTGGGTCTCCCTTCCTTCCATATAAACTGTACAGCTGAAGAAAACTGTCAATTGGCTGAAACATTGGAACTGTAAGAGAAAGCTACATTAAAAATTCAATCACCTAAATTGAATTACCAAGATATTCTTTAAAAAAAAAAAAAAAAAAAATACTATCTCAAGATACTTACTCAGCAAGAACCAAGCCATTGACAATCAGGTTCTTAAAAGGCGGCTTTCCAAAGAGGAGTGTTGAAATAACGAGCAGCGTGTAAAACCTGAGATAAAAAACAAAACAAAAAATAAGATATTTAAGATTTATGCTGGTTTTATCAAATAATCTTTAGATATTGAAATCCATTTTTTCCCCCTTTTCCTCATTTAGTAAAATTTTTCCAGGTGCTTGTAAAATAAAAATTATAATCGCAGAAATAACTTTCCCTAATATAATGATTAGGGCTCAATTTTAAATTTTTTTTTTTTTTACGCAATATCAGAGCCTATGTTCCGTTAAAGTTTAAGGGGATTTTTGGTTCATATAAACTTGCACAAATTTCCTGTTAGGTAGATTTTTCTTTTCTCCTGCTGTTAATATCACTTCTGTTTCTGCTTCCCTTTTATTTCTTTAATTACAATAAGAAATTCTCAATAAATCTCCAAAAAATCGTTACCTCACATTATGTACTACCTCAGGTACCTGGATTGCTACGTCCCACAGTGTGCTGATTCTAATGTCCAATAATCAGCAGAGAAAACTGACATAGGGATCTAGGTGTCTGCATGTAATCCAATTGAGGATAACAATATTATGTCATTTCTATGCTTTACTATAAACCACTCAGGAGATTTTCACTATTAAAACAAACAGTTTCTGTGTGTTTTGAATAGATTACTATTTTGTGCAACTAATGTTTAAAATACGTAGTGCTCCTGGCACCACAGATCATCCACCCTTGCCTTAAATTTAATAATATTCAATACTTTTTGACTGTTCACATCTTTATTATTTTTGTCAGAGACTGACAGTATTCAATGCTTTGGTTTATTTTCACTTTTATTAACACTTATCAAAAATTTGCAACTGCAGAAAACCAGAAAAAAAACAGCACAAAGCATGAAAATAAAAAGAGATGAAAAAAAAATCCATTGAATATTTTCATAAAATTGAGGGAATTAAAATCTTGTTCAGATAATATAAATCACATTGCTATCAAAGAAGTCAAATGCCTCTGCATGTCAGTCAATTTAAGGCATCCATTGTTGACCTGCAATTAAGATTTTAGATACTTACCAGCCTCTTGTCTGGTCAATTCCCTCAGCAATAAAATCAGCAGGGAAATTATCAAGAAATACTTTTTTGTTTTCAAATGGGTAGTGAACTTGAGCATAAGGCATACAGCCACTCTCAAACCAACAGTCAAACACTTCAGGAACACGGTGAAGGACACCTTTACCTTGATTTGAAGGAATTGTCAGGTGATCAATGCTGAAATTTAACAAGAAAGTGTGTTTATTAAAATTAGTATTAAAAAGAACAAAATATTTAATGTAATGGCATAACTTGGGTATCTTAGTGGTGGTGATGGTTAACAAGTTAGTCTAGTAAATCATAACTACTGTGTAGTGAGTTTGCTCTTCATCAGGTACCAATCACTTGGAAAACTTGTGCTAGACCAAGTTAAACTTAGTAAATACTTAAAAATAATGCAAATGAAACAAAAACGTTTTTCCTTAAATAACAGTTACTAACAAATGAGTAAAATAATTGTTCATTTTTTACTCTTATTACATCCATCTTAACTTTTTCTTCACAACTATTCAAACCATCACTCTACAACTATTAATAAAACAGGTAGTAATATTTTTTGAAATTTTTATTAGATGAAACATTGTCAAACATTTTTTATTATCATTATTTCTTTCATAATTTTTAGTTGCTTTACATCACAACTGTTAGTCTAGAGCTATCAGTTAACATTTAGTTAAGTACACGCTTGGGCAATCATATCTCTTCCGACTGACTGACTAGGCAGAAGTTTTTCCCACAATAGGTTTTCATTTCTTCTGCAGTAGACTGTTTGCCACCCAAGACTATAGGACCCATTCTGCCCTTCTATTCAACAAATAGTTGAGCGGGGGAGGGAGGAGAGAAAAGAGATGGATTCGTACCTTTCCCAAGTACCTTTCATGTAAGTGAATGGTAACAAATCTGACCAGAATTCAAACTCAGCTCTCTGATTTTTGATTCAGACTTTATTCACACTTCAAATCCCAGTTAACAGTGCAAGTAAGAAATAAACAAAATATTAGCCATAGAATGTTGTTTTTATGAAAATTGTGTTGTATATGGGTTACATGAAGACACTATAAAATTTTCTTTGCAATGTTTAACCTTTGTGTGTGCAAAAAAAACAGAACAAAAAAAAAAAAAAGTGTGTCAAAAGGAAGGTTATTCCTTTGACCCCCCACTATTACACCATTTTTCTTCTTTTTTTTTTTTACTCCCTCGGCAATGTTTATTTACAAGATTATAAAAATGTCTGAATCAAGTACAATGCAATATTTATTATTTACCTCTTATGAAAACACAAATATGAAAAGAAATCTTTTTATTCAAAACTTAATAAAAAAAATTACAAAATTATCAAAATTATAAAAAAATGTTTGGTTCAGAGGAAGACATATACTCAAACTATTTTAGTGAATTTATGTGGCAAGAGCAAATAAAAGAAAAACCCAGAAAAAACATTTTTTTTTTTTTTTACTAAATTTATAATTAGTTATGTTTATTTAAATTTTCTTTTTCAGACATTTTTATAAATTTATGAATATAAAAAAATTCTTTTCATATTTATTTCTTTGTGAAATGGTAAATAATAAATATTTCATTATAGTTGGTTTACATATTTTTATAATTTTGTAGATATAAAATTATTTATGTAAATAAGCATTCTAATAAATCTTTGTCATTTCTCAAGAATAAAGATAATGTATAAATCCATTTTCATGTGTTTGGGTTTATTAAACTTTAACCATCAATTTAAAACAAACATAATGCTGAAGGAGTAAAATAACAAAACAGAAACTGTGTAATAGCAGTGTTAAGAGAATAACTGTCGTTTTGACATGCTATTTTTTTGCAAGCACAAAGGTTAAACATTGCCAGTTTCTTTTTAGTGAAGTATAATTACTGCATCTACATGGAAATTCCAACTAAGCTTATCCATTACCTCATGTCTTTACTCACTCTTTTCCTGTATCTTTTCATTCTCTCCCTTATCCCTTTCAGCATTTATTGCCAATCCATGCTTTTTATGTAAATGTTATACAAATTTAGATTAGTTTATGTTAGGATACTTAAGTTGAAGAATTGTTATTATATACCTTTACAGTCAGACTAGCATTCTCATTTTGGTTGTTATGTTCATGATGTTTCAGCTACCAAACCCTCTGTCTTCAGGTGTTGTTCTTCACAGTAACCATCTTGAAATTTTGAACTAAATCCTTTATTCAATTCACAGTGAGTAGATAGTACTTATTCTGTTTCCATGCTTATGGGAGATAACTCTTACAAATATTCTCCAGTCTATTTTACCCTTTGTGTCACTTGCCTATTTCTTCTACTGAGCTAAAATATACAACAGGCTTGTAAATGACATTACTTTAATGTTCAAGAGACAAATAGCTAAATGTTGGTACTGTGGTACTCTGGTAGATGCATGTTCAGTCTCTGGGTCATGTAGGGCAGAAAAGTCATATTATGGCTCATTGGAAGCACAGAAAGGTGGATAGACTGAAGACCATTAACTGATATAAGCATGGAACTAACCCAATGATCAAGTAAAGGATTCAGTTAAAAAATTCAAGGTTACCCAAAAAGGCTGAACTGAAACATTGCTGGTTTAAATAAGGAATATAATAAACATGGATTTGCTTCATGTTTTATACATTTCATGTATCAAGTGTGAAGAGGGGAAAAAGGGACTTTTTTTTTTTTTTTTTTGCTGTATTTTGTTATTTTTCTTTGGATCTATCTCCCCATAGACAATGTGTATGCCTCAGTTTTTCATCAGTCTCTACCTTTCAATCTATTATTGTCTCCTGGCATCCAGCCAACAAGCCAGTCCATCTTTCATTTCTATCATTCCATCCTCTCAAGAAGATTACAAAGCCTAGGGATCAAACATGCAGGATGTGATGAGTAAATTATTGCCATTTTATAGTTTTAATTTTACGTATGTGTGTTTGTTTTGGATTTTATTGACTGCATAGTATAGTAGGGTCAGTTGGGTATAGTCTATGAGCAAAAGAGCATCATGATGCAATTCACTCAACCAGAAATTTGGAAAACAGCATGCTGTACTGCTTGGGATTTGTGTTGGAAGCTCCAATATGAACATTTCAGAGTGTTTGGGCATCAATCTGTGAACAGTGCAGAGGATTCAGAAAAAGTTGGATGAGTAATGCTGATTATGAAGGTACAGAAGCTTGGAAAACTCACTCTGATCATTATGATAAGAAAAGAACTCAATTTGTTGGTGAGGGTCTCAGACTGAACATGGAGGCCTACATCAAGTACCTTGAGGAGGTAGTGCTGCCCTGGGTCAAGAGGGTGGCTGCTGGAAGACCCTATGTCTGGCAACAGAACTCTGCACCATGTTACACAAGCAGGAAAACCCAGTCATGGCTGTCAGACAATTTCTCTGACTACATCACCCCTTACATCTGGCCACCTAACTTTTCAGATTGCAACCCTCTTGATTATTATGTGTGGAGTGCAGTTGAGCAAGAGACCAACAAAACTTCTTGTAATACCAAAAATGAACTGAAGGCAAGGATTATGGCAGCATTCACCAACTTAATCAAGGAGACTGTCCAGAAAAGTTGCAAGAGATTCCAAAGTCATCTGGAGGCCTTGGCTGAAGCTATGGCGATTTTATTGAATAAATTTACTCTTTAGTATTTCCAGATATTTTTATGTAATTTTGGTAAATATATGTTAAAATGAGATGTCAGTGTTATTTTCATTTTTGCATAATTCTGACAATTTATCCATTGTACCCTGTATGTCCTTCTGAAGTATACTCCAACTCTATACTTCTAACATCACAGCCTGAACTCTGAAATCTTATTCACTATTTTTTTTCTCTCTCAATAGCTCAGTAAACATAGCTAGGTTCACCTAACACCCAGTTCACACTCTTCCCCAGTCTTTTGAACAGGCCTATCCCTTGTTCCCTGTTAAGGAATGTGTTTCCAGTTCCTTCTAACATTTGTTCATTCTCTTGGGTTTTCCCAATCACTACAATCTTGTCCTTTTTAAGTCTAAAGTTAATTGTTATTTTTCCTGCATAGCCCCATGGATGGTACGATTTGCCCTTTAAGCTCATACAACAGTACACAGTAATACTCTATCTTGTGTGACTCTTGGGCCTTAAATTGAGGAACATTAGTATAAAAAAAATAATAAAAAAATATTACACATTGTTCTCATCTCAAAAAGCACCATGATGATCATGAAGCAGAGAACAAGGAAGAGATTATCATCATCATAGATAAAAGATGCCAGCAAGGTTAGTGTTTTTTTTTTAGTTTTTCTAGATTGAACAACTAAATGAACAAGCAACATAAAATTATTCTTTATTTCATTCCTTTAGTTGTTTTTCATTTGTTAAAAACAAAGTTAACAAAATGTAAACTTACCTTTCCCTGTGAAGATCAGTGACATAAACACCAGTCAGTTGTTCTAACTGATCTCTGCTTCCAACACAAACAACCTGACAATGAGACAGAATCAGACTTAATGACTGTTTAAAAAAAAAAAAGTCTTAAAATAACCCATTATTGGCTTAAGCAGAAATTGATCCAGGACATAGTTAACCTTGCAAAAGCAAAAGGTAGACCCTAAATTTAGTAAGGGAATGTAACTTTTCCTCATTTCAGTTGTTTGTATCACAACTACTCAAACAGTCTACAGTAATGAGATAACAGTGAAATCAAAAACTAATGTCAGCCATTAAATACTGTTTTTATGAAAACTATGAAAATGATGGCCTCAGTTATTTAGGATGCAAAACGCATTGAGTTTATTGACCATCTTTAAAAAGGCCACACCATCAATGAAGAGTAGTATGCCAACTTGCTGAGGTAGTTACAAAAGGTTACTAAGATCAAACACTCAGGAAAACTGACAAAACAGGTGTTGTTTCATTAGGACAAAGCTCCAGCACTCAAGTCCTTAATTACAATGGCTACTGTACATGATTGTGGCTCTAAACTGTTTGACCACCCCTCCCTATTCTCCTGATTTGGCCCCATGTGACTATTATCTGTTCCCCAACATGGAAAAAAAATACTTTGCTGGGAACCAGTATTGCAGTGGTGATGATGACATATCTGCTGTTGATGACTTTTCTGACCAACAAGATGAAAGCAGGTTCACCAATCGGATCCAAGCACTGTAACATGCAATGGAAGTGTGGACCACAAGGGGGATTTTGTTGAAAAATAAACCTCATTTAGTCACATCCTATGAGACAATCTTGGTAAGTTTATGAACTTTTCAGCTCATAACTTGTATATATATATATATATATATATATATATATATATATATATATGTGTGAAAGTCACAACCTGACGCAGCTTAATTCTGATCTGAAATTTTCACTCTATAATGCTCAATATGAGGTGCATTGATAATTACAAAGATAATGTAAAATAACTATTCTATACAATAAATACATTACATCATTAGGCTACTCAATTATTGATGTAAGCCTTGGGGATATCAATGTCACACCATAAATGAATACTTTTAAGATTTGTTTCATAGTCAACAATATTTGTGAGATCAGAAGTTGAACCTCCTCTTTATTCTAGCAATTTATTGTCCTCCATTGTTTATACATAAAAATATTAAAATAAAAGTCATGCATAAATATATTATTTCTTACCTCCTCCCCATCATCACTGACCCATAATGGAATGGGAGTTCCCCAATACCTATTTCTGGATACTGCCCAATCCCTGGCTTCTCGTAACCAATTAGCAAACCGTTTCTCTTTCACAAAATCAGGAACCCTTCAAAAGAAATATTTCAATCAATTAAAAGAAAGAAAAATTTTTTTATTCAACACAATTTCAACTTAATAAATATAGCGTAGAACAAAACAGCGAAACATCAAAGGAAGTCAAAAGTGATGCCTAATTTTTTTGTTTCAATACAAAGTGACAAGTTGACCTTTTTTTAGAATGTTTCTCCATATGGTATGTTCTATAATTAATCTGAAAGTAGACAGATTCAGAATGGGTCTTACTTTGACCCAACTCCAAGTATTTGTCAAATTATGATTATTAAATTATATTTAAGTCAAAAGTGATGCCTATTTTTTTGTTTCCATACACAGTTGGCCGGCAGCAAGCTGACATTTGGCATTTTTTGAGAATTTCCCAAGTGATATATGTTGTCTGAAAGTAGATGGTTTCAGGATTTCATTTGGTTTAAATGTGTTATAACTCCAAGTATTTGTCAAATTATGATTGTTTTAACTTAATCAAAATGACATATATTTAATCATATACTTCCAGATGATCAGTCCTGGATAGTTGCTTTTTTTTGTTAGGAAAGTCATTAGAATCTTGCTGAAAGAAATGTTATAAGTGACAGACAGTTTTAACTTAAAATGCTTTTTCAAAAATGACCTATATCAACTGGATCCCAAAACAAAAAAAATTTCAGTTAAATTAATTTTTTTTGCCATATTTTACTTGTATTTTTGTCTCTGCTCACCTCCCAAATTTGAATAATTTTACAAAAAAATGCTCAAGACAAAGTTTGTTTTCATTTATTTTTTTTTCTCATTTGTAGTACAAGTTCCCAAATATCAAAACAGTTGAAATCTTTGAAATGTAAGAAAATCGCTCTGGGGAAGATATATAAAACATACTAAGTTTCATTCATACGTTAAATTGATTATTACCCACTTTTGACACCAAATATCAGTTTTGAAAATCATGACCAAGACATCTATTTTTGGGGGTACTGAAAATCTCCCCAAAGAAATCAAAGTAGGTTAAATGCAAAAATTAAGCTCTTTTCAAGAATTTTCACTCTTCCCTTTCTAGACTTAAATCCCTGATTTTTAATTAGAAATTTCAAATATTTGTTTTAATCTTCTTAATGTACTTAGGATAACACTAATACAGTCCTATAATTGAGCAGAAAATCATTCAGGGGCCTTAAAAACTACAAATGTCTGCTTGGATCTATTGTTTGAGCCTGCTGTGTAATATGTATGTAATGATTAGTGAATAAAAGTATATATTTTTATTATAAAATCCAACCTATGGCTAGTTAATAAATAAATACCAACCAATATGTTTGTTGGTTGCACTCAAGAAGTTTAGGTGCAACTTCAGCTACTCTTATAAAGATGCTGGGAACAGCTTTGTAGATCAAAGGAGTATCTGATCTGGAAAATTAAAAAATAACATCTTTGAAAAGATGAGTATTATAAATCATTATACAAATAAATATTGTCATAAAAGATTAGAATTTTGTAACACTTACAGGAGACATACACAAGTTGTTTAGTAAAACACAGTGATCAAATTAGAATCAAAGTCATATGCAATTTGGGTTAGTGTCAGTAAAAATAGGCCATCAGCAGTTTTCAAACTTTAAATAATTTATATTAAATTGCAATTTTACAGCATTTGTTTTAAATCAGAAATCTGAACATCAAAGTTTCTCATGGAGCTGGCCATATTTGAGTTTTTCTCACTAGTTAAGATAGAAAGAAGTTTTTGCACCATTACAAATTCATTGTTATTACAAAGATATTCAAATGTCAGTACAATTCAAATTTTGAATTGAAATTATACATTATTTTTTTTCCACAAATCAAAATTCTGAATGTCAAAGACGTTTCTCATAAAGTCAGCCATATTTGAGATTTTTACTCTAGTTGAGATAGAAAACCTTTTTTGTGTCAGTATAAAACAAGAATCCAGATGTTATTCTACATTAATACACATCAACCAATGAGGAAGGAGTTTGAATCAAAGGTTTCAAATGCACTGACGCCACAGTAATATCCATAATGGTACTTATAGCAGATCTGGATTCAAATCTTTTCCATGCCTTTTATATTTTTTTTAACCAGATAAATAATTTCTACATGTTAAAAATTAACATTAATGCTGCATTTATTTATACACAAGGTTTCATATAAAACAGGATAAATTATTTACTGTGTAATTCATGTCCCTTGAATAAAAGAAAACTATTTCATTGTGAAGACATTTATCAAGCTCTACCCATGATTTCATAGGGTTATATAGACCATTTTACAAAGACACATTATTCTGTTGAGTCTGTTGCCTTGAAAGTCTATAGAGACTCAAGCTCACCCCAGACCTAAAAATGGAACTCAGAGATACAATCTAATGCTAAAGACACTGAAAAAAGGGCTGGTTTCTTGTACCGCCCCCAGTAAGTATCTGGCTCCCACTGCTATACTCTAAAAGCCAAATCAGACCATAAATGGAGTATTGACTTGCTTGTCTTGATAGAGTTCAAAAGTGTCTATGTGACATTGTGGGTGATTATTTTCCATTCTACATCCCATTTCCCCACAAACACCACAAATTATCGCTATTTCCATGGTGAGCGTTCTGATGAGCTACATCCCTTGGTTCCACTAACCCTGACCTTTGCTGCTGGGACCCACTATGTCACATACATGTGGATAACTCATCCTCATTCCCTACTGGAATAAGTCCCCAGCAGGGTGTTTTACTGATCACTACAATCTTGAGCACTTCAAGTCTAGGGTTAACTTTTAACTTTCTTACATGTCCTCATGAACTGCACTTTTTGCCTTTCTTTAATTCCTACAATATGACCCAGTAACCCTCTAACTTGAGTGGTTCTTGGCCCTTGTTTTAAGTGAACATTAGTAATAAAAAAAAATAAATATAAAATACTTGTTTTAATTCCTGACCACTGAATCATCTTCAATACACAACAGATTGAAAAGCATTCAAATTTTAGTTAAAAAAAAAATGCAAAATTCAATGTTTAATCGGAATGATTTTCCTTTTCTTCTACTAAAAGAAAATTTGGGAGGTCAGTAAATGACAAATGTTGAAATAGTGATAAAGTAAAGAAAAAGATGAAATTTATTTAAATTATGCAGCCACAATGCAAAGAAGAAAAAAAAAGAAAACCCATGATTGTTTTATTTCTACATCACCATAATTTCAGCATTCTGAATGAATGATATTTCATTATAGTTGATATGACATACATATGTGATATTTTGACATCACAATTTAGATAAACAGCTCAGATGTAGAAACTCAAGACTACATCTATAATTATGTCAAGGAGTTACATTTATAAAAGTAAACTGCATATTAAATTCAATGCTATAAATAGGAAACATGCATTCAATAGAGAAAAAATAATCTGCTCTAGTTAGAAATATAATATACCAACCAGTACTACAAATCACACACTATATGTGTGTTTTTATTTATATATATATATATATATATATATATATAATGTATGTGTGCACACAAAAAAGAGGGGGGAAAAATTCACTATACACCAATAACTAGCACATAAATGAATTTTTAACTTAATATAAAAATGAGAAAAACTGCAGTCAATTGCTGAAAAACTCCTGCCGAGTGAACAAAATGATTTCAAAATGGTTCATCTACAAAACTCCAGAGATGAGGTAATGAATATAACATCAATCGGATAAGTGATAAATTATATATATATATATATATATATATATATATATATATATATATATATAGTTCTTAACATTTGGTGACTCCATATTTAACCATGTTGAATATACTCTCCTATTCTTACCCTGGTGAGCAAAGAAAAATTGTTAAAAATAGAATGCAAAAAAAAACAAAAAAAAAAAAAAAAAAACCCCACTAATCCTTCAAAAATGACAACTGACCTCCAGCAAAAAGGATAACTGTGTCTCACTGTTCCTTGGTGCACAAGACGTCCATTAGATTTCAGCAATTTTATTATTTCCTTATCTGCATCCTAAAACAAAAATCACTTCACCATGAATTTCTTTCAATATTAAACAAGCTTTTAACATAGGTACCTTCATGAGATAGCATGAATAAAAAGGGCCTTACACTTGATGAAAATAATTTTTTATTGTCTAAATGTTTGTTATTATTAAGAGGTAAGATCAAAGTATTTTTAGGGTATTTTTTCATTTTTTTTTTTACATTTATTAAATTCTTCGTAGCACATCTGAAATTTTCGTTAAAAATCTTTTTTTTGAGTCAGCAAAATTAACAGATAATTCATCATGTCAATCATTTTTTTTCCCATAAAAAAAAAACAAAAACAAAAAAAACATGAATATCTCCAGCTCAAATTCTTTTAAAATCAATAACGTTAGAAATTATAAAGTTTATTTAAAATATTCGAAACAAAAATTACTTTCTGCACTGAAAAAATGTAGTTTAAAAATAAGACAAAGTAGATCTTAACATTTGGTGTCACTTGATGTGTGATAATTTCATAATGTATTGACAACTCACATAAGGGACAGTTACCGTACGAAAGGACAGAAGTGACATAATTATTTAGTTTTAAGTGAATAAACTTATTTACCTCATTATTTTTAAGGAAAACTTTCAGCACTAATTTTTTCTTTGTTTTTTTGTACTTAGCTTACGTTGGAAAATATATTATAAAAAAAATTAGGATAAGATTGTTGCGAGCGAAATTAAATTTCATAAGAAAGGTATCTAATTTATCAGAAGTGTACATAAGATACTATAATTTTAGGTACATGTATTACATTTTACTGTATTATTTGTATTTCCATTCATTTTATCATTAATTTTGCTATTTCATTTACAGAAAAATATAACGGAGATAATATAAAAATAAGATCATATAAATTTCATAAGATGATACTAATACTTGTAGGTACCCTTCTCTGTTGAAATTGAAAAAAAATCACATTAACTTCTCCACGTGTTTTGCACAAACAATTCGCAAAAATAAAGGCCCTAATAGCAGAGAACAACACTTAACTCAAATAATGCAACTTTTTATTGTATTCTTGTTCGTCTTCTGTACATTTGAATTACAGCCGTTTTATGGACACAAGAGCAATCTGGAATTAGTTTTTTTTATACAGTGTGGATTTTCTGATTGTTATAAGATATACAACTTATAATGCTACTTAATAACACCATTGACTAAACTGAACACAGTTTTCACTAATTTTATATTTAATAAGTTTAATGTAAAAATAATAAAATAATTTAAGAAATAACAAATAATTGTTTTAAAAATTCATTTTTCATCAAAAAAGTTTTTGCTTTCAGACAATATTATCCATATTTATAAAAAGCAACTAAAAGCATTTGAAATTAAATAATATATCTTTGTTTTATTGAGTTTTGTATGTTACAATTATTCAGGTGCGTGTGTGTGTGTTGGGGGGGGAATAAATATGATTTCCTTTCCTCAGTCTTGTGCTTTAACTTATATAATCACTAAACTATCTAGTATTGAATTTCTAGAGTTTTCACAAAATTGGGGGAATAAATATAAAAAAATATTTTTGCTATCACTTTAAAAAAAGAAAAAATATTTATAATAATTTCCATCATTTGTGAATAGTTCCTGAAAGTTTCATTAACAATTATTTTTGCAAGATTTTCCAAATTAATGTGTCATACAAAAAGAAATGTGCTAAAATTTTGTGTTATTTAGTAGTTACACTGATACAAAGAGAAACAAGTTTTTTATTTTAATCAAAAGTTAGAATGTTCTAAAAAGAAGGAAAAATTTTTTAAAAATAATTAAAAAATACTTTGTTCTTTCCTCTTAATAATAACAAACATTTAGATGATAAAATTTTGTTTTCATCAAGTTTGGCATCTTTTTCATCATGCTATGCTCTTTTTTTAGCAATTTCATGAAGGTACCTATTTTAACACATTCAGTTTTACATAAAGGAACTCTTTCATTTGTTTCACTTAAACATTTTGTGTTTTATACAAATGCTCTCACAATTATTGTCACATGTACTAATATTTCTTCCAAACATTGTTTCTTACTTGCATTTTACTTATAGATGAAACAAGTGATGAACAAAGCATCCCAAAAACATATCAGTTTTTTCCTCCTCAGAAAAAATATAGTCTAGCACAAAGTCAAATCAAGAAGTGGGGTTTGGAGGAAGCGTGTGCTTGGTCAATCTTCAAAGTGAGAAAGATTTGCCAGCTTTGAAGAATCAACATGCCAAAATTCTGACTTTTTATATTTACTAAGTCTAGTTTAAGCTGCCAGCACAAATAGAAAATGGGAAGATTATGTTACTGCAATCTTATGGGGTGGGGGAGGTGCATGCATTCCTTAGAAGAAGAAAAATCATCAATAATTAATTTTTTATTTTTTTAAATAAATTTAAGCAAAAGGAAAAATTAAAAATACAGGAAAATTGTCTTGCACCAATCTTATAATTAAAAAAACTTGCCTTTAAAAATTAAGCATTTGGAATTCTAATATTTTTAAACATAAGCTGAAACGGCAATAAATACTGATGGAAAACACACAAAGATTATTTCAGTTTGTTGTAATAAAGCAGACACACAAAGAAACTTTGTAAAGAAAAAGAGACATTTGTCACATTTACATACACATTTCATTTATTAATTAAAACAATTACCAAACAGAAATAGTACTTTACTTTTTTTTTTTTTTTACCTTGACATACATCCCCTTAAAATCTGTGACTTCTCCTGTGAACTTTCCACAGGAATCAACTGGACAAATGCTGGGCATTTTTTTTTGTAACAAGACCATTTTCAAAACACACCCGATAATCATCCTGTATAAAAGAGAAATAAAATTCATTTTGAATCAAAAAAAAAAAAAAAAAAAAAGAAGAAACATCTCCTGCTAGGAAAGTTGGTTCAATCAATTTTTCTTGTCAGAATCCATCTTGCATATTTATAAATTTACCATTCAAATACTGCTGCCATATCTGGTCATGGTGCTTCTACCATATATCTTGAGAATCTTGACAAAAAAATACAGAAGGGTTTGTAATGTAATCTAATTTGATCTAGCAACTTGACTTCAGCCACTTTCATATCAATGTGACTCCCCACTGTCTTTCCTACAAATATTTTCATGCCAACTGTTTTGATGAGTTTGTTTTTTTATTTTTCTTAGTACCTTGACTCTGGTTACTAGATTGCCTCATTATGCAACCATATGTTCTATTCTAAGTTTCCTCATCTTCTTACCTGTGGAAATCCATTCAGATTTCTTGCAAACTACAATCTTCAAAAATTTAAATGCAATGTCAATTGCCATCTTCTGTCTTCCTGAATCCTGTTCCTTTCCCCACTGAAGTCTACTCATTCTCTTTCACTCCCTGTAACCCCCTGCATCCTAGTGGAATTATCACATTTTTATAGAGGGCATAAAGACTTATTCAAATGTAACAACAAAAATTAACTTTAAGACACAAGAGCAAAATCTTGTGATACATAAGATAATGGAAGTCAATAAATTGGTAAAATTTTCAAGATATAGTAGCAGGCATTGTCAATCTTTGCCAACTATGGAGTCTACTAAGGTGGCTAGCTAATCCCTGCTACAAATGCCTGCTCAGCCACTTCTGAGTTTCTTCAATACCTATAAAGCACCATGACCAATGCCTGTGCTTTGTACACACACATCAATCATAGCTCAAGCAGCAGCAAAGAAACATGGCAGTGTTGAAGCAGCTTGGTTGAGGTTGTCCACTTTATGACTAAGGTGGACTTTTCTGCAGCAAGTCACCGAATATGTCAAGCCTTTGGAGATAATGATGTTAGTGAATGCACCACCAGACATTGGTTCCAGAAAGTCAGAAAGGGAGATCTGTCTCTTTGTGATGAACCCTGCAGTGGCCAGCCACACGTCCTGGATAACAAGGCTCTGAAGGCAGCCACAGAGGACAACAGCCAAACTTGTGGTGAGCTTGCCAAACATGTCCAGGTTTCTAATGAAATAGACTTCAACTGCACTGCATAGAGAAGGTATATAAGTTCAGCAAGTGGGTACTCCACACACAGTCGGAAGCCAACAAGCAACAATGAGTGACAGCCTGTTTCTCACTGTTTTCTTGGCAGTGCAATGTACCCATATTTGATAGAGTGCTCACCAGTGGCAAAAAGTGGATCCTGTATGACACTCCCAAACATGACAGATATTGGTCATCATCACAAGACCCTGTGCTTCACACCATAAGACCACTTCTACACCCACACAAGATCATGCTCTGTATCTGGTGAACTAGTAAACAAGTGGTGCACTATGAGCTGCTACCAATGAGCCAAACCATCACTGAAAACCTGTACTCAGAGCAGTTGGAATGTGTGCAACAAGCACTGTAGCAGGAGCCAGCATTGGTTAATCACAAAGATGTAGTGTTTCTCCGTGACCAGGCTTCATGTGGCATGGGTGGCCAGAAATACCAGATGTCACCTTGGCTGGGAAACACTGCACCATCCACCTTACTCCCCAGATTTTGCACCAAAAGATTACCGCCTCTTCCATTCCCTGGACAACCACCTTCATGGGAAATCCTTCTCTAATGAGGCAGACACTCACAAACTTCTTTGCATCCATAGCACCTGATTTTTACTGCCAGAGCATTCCACAGATGGAGGCACATTGGCAAAAGGTTCTGGATGGGGACTACTTTGAGAACTAATGGTATATCAAATTTGCTGTATACCTTTTTGTGTCTAATAAATAAAAAAACAGCAAGGACATTTTTGGTTACCTTGTACAAACCTAATGAGTTGATATCCTCCAATATCTCAGGTAAACAGTGAACATACTCATAATTGAATATACTTAAGTAAACATTGGTCTTGTTTACACTTTAGTCTACTTAGATAAACATTAGTTGTCCATACTTAAGTATGCAAGCATCTACCCAGTAAGAAGCATTTTTTAAAAAAAAAAAAAAAAAAAGAAAAAAAAGGTCAGTAGAGGAATCTTACTCTACTACAGGGAATGCAATTGGTGTATAATCAGCCCCACTGAGAGAGCATCTGACCAATTGAAATCAGAAATTATTTGGAATTCAAAGAAAAGGTGTAATATTTAAGCAGGATAATGCTAAATTGCAAGTTTCTTTGCTAACCACATAAACCTTTTTAAAATCTGGCTGGGAAGTTTTCCCCCATCCATTGTATTTACCAGATATTGCATTTTTGGATAACAATTTATGCCATTCCTTACAGAATTGTCTTAATAGAAATGATTTCAGTTTCCTGGAAGACTGCAAAAGGCATTTAGAGTAATTCTTTGGCAAGAATGATAAAATGTTCCGAGAGAGTGAAATTATGAACTTGCTTTAAGGATAATAAAACAAACAATAAATATATTGTTTAATAAAGTTAATGTTGAAATTTCTTTTTTAACTGTCTTATTTTTATTTAATAAACTGGATATTTTTTGTTATCCAATAACTGGAAAATGAACTTAAAAAAAAATAAAGTTATATTCAAAAAAATTTAATAAACAAAATTTAACTTGAAACAATAGACTTACCTCTCCAAAATATGGAGCCTGATGAACAATTCCTGTTCCACTTTCTGCTGTGACATAATTATCACACGTTACTTGGAAACAACCAGTTTTTTCCCTCATCTATGTTACAAAAACAATAAAAACAAAAATACATTTATTTTGTTAACATTTCCTAATGCAGACTCTTTCATTCAAAAACTTTTCCTTTAGAAATATGCTCATTATACCACAAATCTCAGTTTTAGAATTTTTTTGTCATTTGTAAAATAGGAGACATTAAATAAAAACAAAGCTAATGTTTTTCACTGCAAAATTAATGAAAAAAATGATACTTATTAAAAGAACTTATCACAAAGTTAATGACAAAAATTAAAAATTCAATAAATGTAATATTTTACATATTAAAAATATACCACAAATGTAAAGGAGACATTCAACTGTCTTCTCAATATAGTCTTCCTCCTTTTTTTTTTTTTTTTTTACATTTTTTGTATTTATTTTAAACAGCAAAATTCACAAAAGAAAATATTAAGAATTTTCTCAGAGAAAGTTAATTTAATTTTTTTCTTTGTGCTATTATGTCATAATAATGAATATCTTGATTATAAAATTCATTTTTAAGGAATAAATTGTTTTTTTATATAACATTTGAAGTATGTTGAGACCATCCTTGTAAGAAAACAAAACACAAATGTAATTTTTCAAAAATTACTGTATAGAAATTTGTGCATTTGAAAAAAAAAAAAAAAAAAAAAAAATGAATAAAATTTAATTTAAAATTTTTTCTATGATATTATTGTTCATAAACATTGATTTAAAAAAATAATTATTTGCACACAAGTATTTGAAAAAAAAATTTTTTAATTTTACTAGCATTCTTGTTAAAAAATGTAAAACAAAAAAATTAACCAGTTTAATATTTTTTAAAAATATACTGTAAAAATATTAAACTGGTTAATTTTCTTTAGATAATCATATTTTATAGGGGAGCAGGTGATCAATACTCCCCCACAACAATAAAATAATTATCCAAAAATTTTAATGAGAGAGGTTCAGTTCACTATGTAACTTCAATATAAAAAATGGACCCTGACAAGTGAAATAATTTGGAAATCCTTTGGAACCATGTAATTTCTTTGAGACAACAGAAAGTAACATAAGATGACAAATCCCCACATTGATACAAACTTTAAAATTCTTAATTCTGAATCCTAAACCCTCCAAGACCTTAAAAATATAAAGTTCATACTTTTTTAGAAGTACCATGTAACTTTTACAAAATAATAATTTAAGTAAATATTTTTTTAATTTCACTACCCGCCAAATCTCTCAAAATGTTAAAAAGTACTGGGTATCAGGTTGTCATAGTAACTCTGATTAACAAATTAAGGCTTGTGTATTTTGTCTTCCCTAACATCAGAATGAGTGAGAACAATAGTTAAAAGGCAATAACTCAAGACGACACCCCCTGACCAACCAAACACTACTGTTTATGAAAGGCACTTTCCATCTGATTATTACAAAGTGCAAGCCAGAAATCCACATTCACCATCCATGTATGATCATATAAGTGTATTACTTAGTCCTCAAACAAAACCAACAAACAAAACTTCTGCTTCTATGCAAAATGATGAGTTGGCAGTTTCTAGAAAAAGAACAAAAACCTCACTTTTGAAAAATTATATCAGAATATTGATCAACAGGATTTTGTTTCAGTAGTTACATGCTATAAATCAATCAATCAGCTGTTCATACAATCTGTTGATTTTTTTCAATGTTTTAATTAAAATTTTTTGAATACTTGAGATCTGAATGTTATAATGCTGGTGTGTGTATATATATATATATATATATATATATATATATATATAAAACAATTTTTGTTCTCTTTCAAAAAGTCAAATATCAATGTTTCAGAACTGGTGACAAATCAATGAAGCAATTCATTATCTTAGTAACTTAAAAATTGATAAGAAAAAAATTTAAATGCACATTAATGTTATGTCCCCGCAAAGGATTGAGACAAACATTATGATTGATATTCTTATCAGAGCATTTGAATACTTTGTTAAATCTTGGTCATTATATAACAGGCTCAACGATGATTTTAAGTTACTCAGTATGAGAACATTACCAACTTTGACATCAGAAATTTCAAAATTAGATGACTAATTTTCTTGGTA